AGACGGGTCTTTAGGAAGCTGGACCGAAGCAGCACAGCATCCTGGGCTGCCATCCTGAAGCACCCGAGCAGCTCCCGGGCAGCCGCGCTGTGATTCCCGGCACTGCTGCAGGAGGGAGGAAGGGCTTCCCTTGCAGCATCTCTTTTCACCCAACGCCATCAGAGGACCGCTCCCCTGTAGCACCTTCGAACCAAAAAATGTGAGCTGTGCAAGAAATCTGGGGCTGGGAAGCCCGGAGAATACACAAAAACACATCCAGATTCTTCTAGTTGGCTTTGGGGGATATTTTTAGGGCATTTCTGACTCTTGCCCGTGTCTTCCTCTTCATTACCCATTCAGGCAACACATGATCTTCACAAAACAAAATGTAATTTCTGATTTCCTTGCATCCAGCTGCACTGTATGCAATTTTTTTCTCGGGGGAAAAAAAAAAAAAGCTCTACGATGTTACAAAAATAAGATTTAATTGGCACGTAGCAGCATCTTCTAATGGCACAATGAAATGTCAGCAATACTTTAAATTGGCAAGTTTATTACACGTGTATTCATATTAAAATAAAAAGCCCACCTGCTATCTTGCATCAGAGGGGTGTGTGTATGGGGGAGGAAGGGGAACAATGCTGCCATACCAGCTGCCTCCTCAGCACAGAACTCCCCCGAAACCCACGGAGGGGAAAAAAAAAAAAAAAAAGCAGCAAAAACCAATCCAAACCTTCAGAATAATGATAAAAAAAAAAAAATAGAATAAAACTTGATGGTTTTAGAAGCGCATTGATGTCAAGCCCCCGAGAAGCCGCCTGTCCTACCTGAGACGGTGCTGGCCATGCTGCGGCGGGCGCGGAGCGGTGCTGCAGGAGCAGGAGGGAGCGCAGGAGCTGCGGAGGTGCTGCAATGCTGCGGGGAGGGAGGACTGACTCAGCTGGAGGGGGCTGCAGCCATCCGCGGCGGGGAGAGGCTGGAGCGCCCAGAGAAAGGCGAGGGGTGGAAAGAAAAAGAAGGGTCACTAGTTCAGAATATTAATGAGCGTATCAGGCCTCCTTTCCTGGGAGGCTTTGACGGCAGATCCCTCCCAGGCAAGCCTGCCTGCCAGGAACACAGCCCCACGGCGGGGGGGGGCGAGACACACCCAGCCGGGCGCGGGCAAAAGAGGATTTTTTTCCTCCTCTTCCTCCCTTTCTTGTCTGTTCGAGATGGGCTAAACTGTTTTTTTCCCTTGCTGAAAACAGAATTAAGATTTTTTTTTTTTTTTTTTTTCAAACCAGCCATTCCAAGGCAGCCTCACCTGCAGGGCCAGGTCGGGGGTCTGGCTTGACTGGGCTGAGGTGTGAAGCCCAAACTCCAAACCTTGCAGCAGCTTTAGGCAAACAGCAAAGGGAGGAGGGATCCCAGCAGGTTTTTAGGCATGGGATTAGTTGGTTTTTTTTTTGTTTTGTTTTTTTTTGTTTTTTTTTTTTGCACCAGCACTGAGGCACTAAAAGAGCTGCAGTTTGGGGAGGAAACTGCTGTAAAAGTAAAGGAGAAAGAGCAAAATTGAGCTTTTCAATTTCAGTGAGAATTCTCTGGGTTTCTCCTCCACCCTAAGCACCAGGACCTCTTTTCTTATAATTTTCTGTCTGTTCTTTATAATTTCTATCATTTCCATTTGTGGCTATTGCCAGGGGCCAATGCTTCTGTGCTTTTAGAGCAACACACACACACTTGGGAGCAAGGAATCCTCCCAAACCCACACATCTCCTGGCACGCTGCAATGCAGACACTCCCAAACAATTCCAGCTGCTGCAGAGAACCACAGGTTGTTGGAATACCTGCCAGCGCTCTGGCTTGCTCAGGGGCAGAAGCCACAGACACTGCCTACTAAATTCAGTCTGAAAGATTAGAGATTTTTCTACTTTCCTATTTTTTTCCCCAGTCAGTGCCCTAACACTGTCATGGGAAAAAAAAAAAAAAAAAAAAAAAAAAAAAAAAAAAAAAAAAAAAAAAAAAGAAAAATAGAGAAAATGTCTAACTCATAAAAAAATTAACACTATCCACACGTTTTCCATGTGTTTGCAACGGGACTTTTTTTAATGACCTTTAACTGCTCCCTGTTTTGTCCAAGCCTTTTTTTGTAGTTCCAACTCTCTCTACTTTCCCCTTGGATTGAATCTCCAGGACTTGACAGGTTATCTTGTGTGTGTTTCAAAAACACCTTTGCCATGATCAGAGGAAGGCAGCCATCCCAGGCACCTGGCTGGTGGAGTGACTTCCCCCTTCTGTTCAGGATGAACTCTGGCTTTGATATTCCCAGCAGTCCCAAGAGGGTCTGACTACCTCTTGCAACATTCTGGATCTTTTGGCATCAATCCAGCACACATTGTATTAATTTTATTGAGGAAAGGGTGTGGAATGATTTAAAGGTGCCATGGCTATGTGTCCCACTGGAATACACTGTGAGAGAAGTGGGGAGCAAATGATTTGGAGGGTCAAGGTGGAAAGCTGTGTTGTTACTTCCCAACAGTAAATGGACTGCAATGCTCTGGACTATCAGGATTAAAAGAAATCAGATAATTTGGGGGGCAAACAAAAACTCAGAAAGACAACAAATGGCAAGTCAATCCTCCTCGATCTGAAAAGAGGTAAATAACCTTCATGCCAACCACAGGAGTTTCACAGATGGCCCTCGTTGCTCTTTTGTCCCATTCTTGAAGATTCCTGCTCCTCTGGCAGCATCTGGATCTCATCTGGAAAGAGATCCTGCCTGGGCAGCCTCTGAACAAACACGGCCATTATTCATTTTGCACTTCTGCACATGATCAGTGTTCCCCTTGCTGGGGTCTCTGGTGTGGTTCAGCCTCTCCCCACAGAGGTAAAGGACCATCTTTCACAAGGTTTTTATTTTGTACATTCGTTTCTTTTTCTCGAAAATGAAAAATAGTGTATCCAAGACCTTAAAACCCAGGAATGAGTGAGAAGTGGAGATGGGGTGGTTCCTCCTGGCTGGGCTGGCAGGGACAGGCTGGGCTGGCACACAACTCTTTGTGGTGCTTGGACAGAGTTTTCAAATCTCTCCTTCCTCTCCAAAACTCTACTTTGTAAGAACTCAGGGTCTATCTAGGCAGACAAACACCAAGATGGCAATCCAGTGTGAGACCAACACCTTTATTTATCATGTCTTTATCCCAACAGATGCTGCAGCTTCCCTAAACCTCCACAACAAAGAATACATTTTTCTCTGTAAGCTTACAACCATTTCCTGTGTTCTGTTTTCAGAAGGCCAGCAGTGCTGGAGGCAGCCTGCAGCCCTGGTCAGGTGAGGTCACTGGTGCAGAGGAGCAGCCTCCAGGAGCTGCTGATGCATGTTTGCTGCTGGACACGGGCACCTGCTGACTCACAGCCCACTCCTGCCTCGGGCTGCTCACCTCCAGCTCCCCTCTCTCGGCAGGCGACACTGCTTCTACCAGCATCACTGCAACAAGGCAAAATATTCTCCTTTGATACACTTCTGATATTGTTCTTCCACGTGGGAAAGATGTGTTTACAGGAAATAATGATAACAGAGTATTCCATGTATTTCTGAGGAGTTTTAAATAATTTTTTCTCCCCTAAGGTTATCCCACATTCTCATTTCACCATCTTGACAAAATGATCTCTTTTGCAGCTTCATCATGTGTGACTGGTATCACAGTGAAGAGTTCAGTCAGAAACATGAGCAAAACCAGCTGTTAAATTTTGTGTGGAGCACACAAAGTTCCACAGGAATAACTCAATTTTCCAGCTCATTCCCTGCAATTCAAGACAGCTTATGATCCAGGGAAGTTCAGCTGAAGGAATTTAAAGGCTGGCCACCAAAACAGCAACACCCATGAGCTCCCCTGACCCAACACCATGACACAGGAGGTACCACGAGTTTGGGAGCAGAACAAACCACACAATGTTTAACTTATATAGTTTAAGGTTTGCTCCTTTTAACATCAGAACCCTTCTACACACAAACAAGCTGTGCAGCTGGTCAGGAGTAAAGCATTTAAAAGGTACAATAAAAGAAGCCACATCCTGTTCTACATCTCTGCAGTGACAGCATGAGACACGGCAATAAACCACAGAGATGAGTACCAAGTATTTTCTTCCTGCCTTCTTTCTCATATAGCTGCATAAAACACAGTTTTACAAAATTTGGGGATACAAGTAAGCCATGCCTATACATTTATTAAAACCAGATTCTTACAAAATTGGGTAATCCATCAATCCAGAGCAGTTCACCACAGCCACACGGCCTCAGCACCTGGAATGTGCCGACAAACCCTGGATGTGCCTGGATGCACTGGCAGGGGACTGAAGGGTGGGAGCAGAAAAGCCGGGAACAAAGGAGCGGCACATTCACCCCTAACAAAAGAGACCCGTCAGAATTCATTACCGCTCCTAAGGCAGGAGCTCAGCACAGAGGCACAGATCCCTCCCACCTCAAACGCCGCGGGTTCCACAAAGAGCCCCGCCGTGTCCTGCCCTGTGCTGCGTGCCCGGGGAAGCGGAGCCCGGGGAGCGGAGCCCGGGGAGCGGAGGCCGGTACAAAGCGCAGCAGGGCCCGGCACACGGGCTCTGCCCGGGGGCACCGAGCATCGCTCGCTCCCGAGCCGCCCAAAAGGGGACACACGCCGGGCCCGGGTGGCCCCGGCGCAGGGCTGGGAGGCTTCGGGAACGCGGCTTTTCGCCAGCGAGCAGCCGATATTCCGCCCCTCCGCGGCCGAAGCTCGGCCTCCGCCCCCGGGGGAAGCGGCTGCGGAACCGGCCGGCTGAACCACAGGGAGCGGAACCGGCTTCCTGCAGACCTGGCGGCGCTCAACCCCCAGCGGGCCTGCGCCGCTCCCGCCCGGGCCCCGCTGGCTCCCCGACACCAAGGCCCGGGCTCCGCCGGGCTCCCGGGCCGGGCCCGCCATGGCCGCCGCCGTTACCGGGGCAACGCCGCCGCTCCCGCGAGAGCGCGCGCAGGAAGTGACGCGCGGGACGCGTGAGGGGACACGTGAGGGGACACGTGACAGCGGCGCGGGGATTCCGAACGGCGCGGCGGGAGGTGAGGGAGCGCCGCGACACCGGGACAGAGGACGGGGGGACACCGGGACAGGGGACACCGGGACACCGGGACACGGGACAGGGGACACGGGGACACCGGGATACGGGGACACCGGGACAGGGGGACACCGGGACTCGGGGACACCGGGACTCGGGGACACCGGGACAGGGGACAGGGGGACACCGGGACAGGGGACAGGGGGACACCGGGACACGGGGTCACCGGGACACCGGGACACGGGACAGGGGACACGGGGACACCGGGATACGGGGACAGGGGACAGGGGGACACCGGGACTCGGGGACACCGGGACTCGGGGACACCGGGACAGGGGACAGGGGGACACCGGGACAGGGGACGGGGGGACACCGGGATACGGGGACACCGGGATACGGGAACACCGGGACAGGGGACGGGGACAGAGAGACAGGGGGACAGGGGGACACGAGGACACCGGGACACGGGGACAGAGGGACACCGGGAAACCCGGAGCTCAGGGGTCTGGGACCCCGGGAACGCGGGGTCACAGCGATAGAGCACACGGGGACACAGTAGCCCCGGAGCTCAGGGATGTGGGACCGCGGGCCGGAACGGGCGGTCCCGAGTGCCCGTGTCCCTGTCACAGTGTCCCCGTGTGCTCTATCGCCGTGACCCCATGTCCCTGTCGCTGTGTCCCTGCGTCCCTGTCGCTGTGTCCCCGTGTCCCTGTCACGGTGTCCCCATGTCCCTGTCGCTGTGTCCCCGTGTCCCTGTCGCTGTGTCCCCGTGTCGCTGTAGCGGCCCGGAGCGGTGTGACCGAGCCGCTCCCTGCCGTGCCTGGAGCGGCCCGCAGCGAAGCTTTACACGGGCCCGGGGTGCCAGGACAAGGGGAGCGGCTGCAGCCCGGCTGAGGGCAGGGGTAGGTGCGGTATTGGGAAGAAATTCTTCCCTCTGAGGAGGGTGACAGCCCTGGCACAGGGCGCCCAGAGAAGCTGTGGCTGCCCCATCCCGAGTGTCCAGGTTGGACGGGGCTTGGAGCAGCCTGGCGCAGTGGAAGGCATCCCTGCCCACAGCAGGGGTTGAATGAGGTGAACTGCCAGGTCTCTTCCAGCCTTATCATGGCACGGTATCACCAGGACAGCAGGGTCAGCATGGTCTGCCCTTCCTTGCAGGCAGCTCAGGGAAGGAGCCATGCCCAGGATCACTCTGAACGGGATCACGGTGGATTTCCCCTTCCAGCCCTACCCATGCCAGGAAGCCTACATGGCCAAGGTGCTGGAATGCCTGCAAAAGGTGAGCGAGTGTCCAACTGTGTGTCATTGCTAACTGCACTAAATGGTTTCTCTAAGAAGAGGTTGTCATAATTCAAGTTTTCTTTACGTGCTTTGTATGCTTCCTTTCCAAATCTTCTCTGACCTTTTACTTGTATTTTTATTTTACTCTGTGGTAATGAAAATCATGGCTGGCAGGTGGCAGTCAGTAGAAATATAGATGGGATGTTCCTGCCTAAACTGGGAAAAGGAAGAAAGACTGCTTGTATTCATGCAGTCTGTTCTTGACAGATTACAGAATCATGAATGGTTTGGGTTGGAAGGGACATTAAAGCTCACCTTGTTCCACCCCCTCCCATAGGCAGGGACTCCTTCCACCATCCCAGGCTGCTCCAAACCCCCTCCAACCTGGCCTCGGACACTTCCAGGGATGGAGAAGCCACAGCTTCTCTGGACAGCCTGTGTCAGGCTCTCTCCACCCTTACAGTGAAGAATTTCTTCCTATTCTCCAATATAAACCTACTCTCTGTCAGTAGGACTCCATTCTTCCTTGTCCTGTTACTACAGGTCCTTGTAAATTCTTGTAGCCCCCTTCAGAAACTGGAAGACCCCCGTTAGGTCACCTTGGAGCCTTCTGTTCTCCAGGCTGAACAATCCCAATTGTCTCAGTGTTTCCTCATAGGAAGAATTTGGTCTTATCTTGTTAATATTTGGACTATTTATATAATTTTCCATTTTCTGTGCGAGAGGATAATTTTAATGAATGAATGTCAAAATAATAAAATGGTTTTTTCGCAGTAGTTATCTTTTTTTTTTCCTGGACACATCTTCATGGTCCCTGTTCTGAGGGACCAAGCAAGCTTATTGTGGGAACTGTGGCTTTCCACCTGGCTCTGCTGTGGATCACGGTATCTGCTTGGTGCCTCCTCTCATCAAACTCAAAGTGTTGTGAGCTCATGATAGAAATTCCTTTCACACTCTTGAGCTCAGCTGCTGCTTTTTTCCAATTTTTAGTATTGTCACACACTTAAAAATTATAACATCCTGTAGGTCGAGGTGTTCCAAGTGCTGACAAAGTTCTGTGCCTAAACTGCCATGGGATACAACCTTAATCCTAAAGGAAACCAGCACTCTGTTAACTGGGAGCCACTTTCTGGGCTGGTTTTTCAATAACTTCTCATATTTTCATTTAATTCAGTATTTTATAATGAAACATGATACACTCGAATGGCTCTAAGAGTGGAGAATTGAATTCCTATGCTAAATAAATCCGTTGGCTGGTTCTGGGTGTTTGATTGAACCTCATTAAATTAATTAGAGGGTCCTACAAGTTGATTAGACCTTGTTGTGTGGGTGTTCCTTGGTGGGGCTGCCAGCTGGTGTTTGCTCCTTGGCAGAGGACATGCAGTGCTGCACTAAGACCTGTCCTGCTGAAGCCTTAAATCCCTTTCTTATTTCTCTCCAACACAGAAGGTAAATGGCATTTTGGAGAGCCCCACAGGCACAGGGAAGACCCTGTGCCTGCTGTGTTCCACCCTGGCCTGGCGGGAGCACTTCAAGGACACCATCTCAGCCCGGAAAATCGCGCAGCGCATGAACGGGGTGGAGCTCTTTCCTGACAGACCACTGTCCTCCTGGGGCACTGCTGCCACAGATGGAGATGTCCCAAGTGAGTACCACCACCTCTGCACTCAGGGGTGGTAGTCAACACGTGCTTTTATCTGTCTTTTATAATAAATATATCTGTCTTTTATAATAAATGTACAATTATACAAGTTACAGAGCTGTTGTTGAGCAGCTGAAGCACAGTTTCACTGTTTTATACATTTTCAAGGTGTTTTACCTAGTTTGAATTTTTCTGGGAGCTCATTTAGTTCTTTAGTTTCTTAGAAAAATCATTTAGCTCATTTTATGTATGTGAATAGTTAGATGACAGCATTTCCTGCTGTCTCTATAAGGCAAACTGTTGCCATAGTACCAGCTGGGGAAGGAGGCTAAGAATATCCCTAGTTCTCCTTTCTATGCTTATAATGTCTCTCTGCTTTTTTTTCTCTTCTGTTTGGCAGCTTATTACACTGACATTCCAAAAATAATTTATGCCTCCAGGACTCACTCCCAGCTTACACAGGTCATTAATGAGCTAAAGAACACAGTGTACAGGTGAGTATGATTTAGGGTAGTGTCCTTATTCAAAGAAAAGGTAGAGAAACCCCTCAGGTATAGTTATTGTTTGAACTTTTGTAGATGAACGCATAAAAGATGATATCCAGAGAAATATAGTTCCTTTAATGTGCATGTTTAGGACCTGGTTTTCTTTGTTGATGGGTTTGGTTTATTTTAATACTTCACAGCTTCTCTCCTTCAGTCATAGAGTTTTCTGAATTTAGTCTGGTTTTGGTTTTTTACTTGACACATTAACTAATAAAATTGCCTTTTTTAATTTTTGCTCTTTCTATTTTTCTGGGGACATTTTTAAAGGCAGTGGGAAGCCATTACCAGGTTGCACTCCCAAGGCTGATGTAAATCTATGAAGAACTTTGTGGTTTTGTTATACCAGTGCCTGTCACAGTTTTCAGCTGTTCACATACCAGCGTGTGGCTGAGCTCTTTGGACAGGCATAGTCATTTGTTTATGTAGCACTTGGAAAGATACAACCTTGTAATAATCAGAAAAGTCCAAACCATGGTGAATGTTTATAGTGAACCAGTTCTGTCCAAACCTTGTTCTGAAAATCACAACCAGCTTGGAAAAGCTTGTAATGGATGGCAGGCCCCAGCTGCCTGGGGTGAGCTGTCATAACAGAACCCAAATTTTAAAGTGGATGGTGTAAATTGCTGCTTGTGACTTCTTGCTGTGAGCTGCTGCTGCTCATTAACACCCACTGCTGCCAGCAGAAATGCAGTGCCTCAAAGTCCAGTAACACACACAGCAATTACAGACAGACTAATTGACTTGTTCTGGCTCTGACCCTTGCTTTGGGCTCATCTGTTTCTCCTGAATCTTTCACTTTTGAGATATTGAATCTAAGCATGTACAACTCTGTTCTTTCTTGCCTGATTTTTAATGTCAATTTTGTGTATCCAGGCCAAAGATTTGTGTGCTGGGATCCAGGGAGCAGCTCTGCATCAATCCTGAAGTGAAGCGACAGGAGGGCAACCACATGCAGGTGAGATCAGAGCCTGGAGAGGATGTTCAGGGAGAACATGGAGGCTTTTGTGTCATTTCTGTGTCATTCTTCATTCTGACATTGTTTAACTACAGGAGGCTGCAGGGAAAACACAGTAGTTGAAAATGTATTTTTAGGAGTGTTTAGTTTCCAGTTTTGTGAGTGCAAAATGTAATTCTGAGTCTTCGGTGACGTTTTGTATCCAGAGAAAGATGTCACTGTATAGAATATGACAGTTATTAATTTGTAGTTTCTGATCTGCTATTTATGTGTTTTTCAAGAGCAATAATAAGTTCAAAACATTGCTTCTGTTATGGATTTAGCTGTTATTTTACAATATGAAAGATTACTGTTTTGAAAAGTATTAATGGTAAAATATAACACATTTTTCTCTCAGCACGTGTGTGTTCTGTGCTGCAAAAAAAGCCTAACCTGCAAGGTGAGCAGGACATGTGGTTTTAAAGCTGAAGAGCTGTGATTAGCATTTATTCATTTGCTGGTGTTAGAACTGATTGCACTCTTTAACCTGCTTTCAGTGCCTGACAAGCTGTGCTACTCTGGGCTGAAATAGGCTTTGTTTTACAGATCTACATGTGCAGAATGAAAGTGATGGCTCGTGCTTGTCATTTCTATAACAATGTGGAAGGTGAGTGTGGCTCACCTTAACCTCCCCTGGAAGCAAAGACCTGGATTTGGAGAGGGATGGATTTGCTAGGCAGGTGGAGAGGTTTGGAAGAGTTGGCAAAATCCATCTGTGTTTTTTTTTTTTACTGTCTTTCAAGAATGAAATATTAGTGGATGAGTTTGATGATCAGGGTAACTACAAACCTTTGTGTGATGCCTTCACCTAAGCTGGTGGTTTCAATGTCATCTTTTACAGAAAAGAGTACAGAGAAAGAACTGATTGAATCAATCATGGATATTGAAGACTTGGTTAAAAATGGAAACAAGCACAGGTGAGTGATCCTCTCTGACCTTCCTCCCCCTGACTTGTGAAAATAATGAAAATTGTTTCTCTGTTCACTTTTATTAATCCATTTATGTATCAGAGTGCATGAATGTTGAATGTCCTCTTAATATTTCTGCAAGCAATATAGTCTGTACTGTTTTTTTTTTTTAAACAGAGCTTGTCCTTATTATCTCTCTCGAAGCCTGAAGCAGCAAGCAGACATTATTTTTATGCCTTACAACTATTTGCTAGACTCAAAGGTAACATGTAACTTTGCTTTTAAATACAATTGTTCTTCTGTTTGTCTTATGTTGGCTTTTAGAGGATAAACAGTGAAGAGTGATGCCTGGCAAGTGGATGCATTAGGTATAAAATTGTAAATGCAAGGAAAATCCTCTGCTTTACACCCCACTTCTCCCAGATCTCTATTGCCAAAAATGACTCAAAGTGATTCAAATTAATCATTAAACTTTCTCAAATTAGTTAAACGAATCCAAATATGGCACACCTGGGTTGTTTTTTTTTTTTTCTTTATTACATATTGTAACCTTGGTAAACATTTACATTATACATTTAGCACCTTAATTTCCAGAGAAAGTGATTCTGTGGTTTCTGCAGTGGGCAGCCACAGCCATGACTTGCTGTTTTCTTCAAGGTAAAAACCAACCCAACTACAAAATACATGAAAACTCAAAAGTATCTCATCATTCACTTTCTCAGCCAATCCAATCCATATTTCTCAGTGGCCTTTTTGTCCATTTCATTGTTCTGATTTTGTCTTTAGAGCAGGAAATCACACAACTTGGACCTGAAGGGGACTGTGGTGATACTCGATGAAGCTCACAATGTGGTGAGTTGTTCTGGTCTGTTATCATTCTTCAATCTGCATCCAAAGAGTAAAACAGACCCCATCCTATTAGAGACAACCTGTAAAATCTCTATTCAGATGTATGTTGCTAATATTCGTTAACATGAACATTTCTTGTTTCTGTGACAGTTAAATTTTTGTAGTTTAATTAACAGTCCTTTGACATTGCTGATTTTTTTTTACAAGGTGATGGTTTCTTTCTAAAGGGTACATCTCCTGATTCATAACATGCTTCTTTTCTTGGAGACTTCTAAGAAAACACTGTGTAAGAAATCATGAAAGACTTATTCCTGAAGGCCAGCTGGATCAGCTCTGCCAAGTGCAGTAGATGGCAAACAGGATTCTTTTAACATTTCCAAGTCCTCACGCATAGAGGAAAACAAGAAAAAAATAAATAATGCTGCCTAAGGAGTTCTTCCTTTTAGCTGGCTTGAAACTGCAGCACTTTTCCCAAATGTTGAAATGCAAAGGAACATTTGAAATATGTCCCTTTCTCTGCCACACGAAGCCACAGTGTCCCAGTGGGATTTCTGCTGAACAGCTGTGGTTTCTTGTCTGAGTGCCTTGTGTCCTTTCAGTAAACAGCAACCCAGCTCTGCTTCGCTGGAGAGCCTTGCATTGCTGCACCCAGGCTTTGCTCCTTTCGTCAGAGCATCTTTCTCTTGAAAAATGTGTGGAAATCCTGTCACAGTTGTTTGGGGTTTGGATTTGTTTTTCCCTTTATAGTGTGCAAGAAGTACTAATTGATGTCCACATGCAGAAATTAGCCAGAACAGCTTCTTGTTTTGCAATAGTTATATGATGATGCTGTCTCTTCCAGATTAATATGTGGAAATTTAGTGCTTACACTGAAATAAAATTAATTTCTTTCTGATTAGATTGTTTACACATGCAGCTCACTCAGAACTTATTTTCTTTATAACTTATTTCTTCATAGCTATTACAGTCAAATATTTGTGTAGGTTAGGCCTTATTATTTATCATCGTTCCTCAGGGAAATTATTCTTTTTGTGAAAGAAAATTTCTGCCAAAGCAACATGTGATTTAATTTTCAAAGTCAAAGAAAATTTTGTTAAACTTACTAATCCTGAGTGTTTAAACCATTACTACTTTTTAAATAGAAAGTAGAGAAATTACTTTTTTGAAGAACAAACCAATTGTCTAAGTAAAAGAATTTTCCTGCTTGAACGTCAGACAATTACTGTCTGTATGCTCTAAAATGTTGATAGTGTGGAAGAGGCAAAATCTGTTTACATTTCAGAAAGAATGTTGTTTGCAATAGTCAAAGTCTTCAGGTGTTTATAAAATATCCTCTGGCCTGAGCTGGAGATCAAAAATAAAATCAAGCCTGGTTGTCTGGACTTCATCATGTCTGAAACTGCCTGAATAAGCAGCTCACAGAGTGGTGAGAATAATTCTTCCATTCCTTTTATTTTAGGAGAAGTTGTGTGAGGAGTCCTCTTCTTTTGATTTGACTCCCTATGATTTGGCTTCAGCAATGGATGCAATAAATGTTGTCCTGGAGGAGCAAGCCAAAGTGGTTCAACAGAATGAAATCAATGCTGAATTCAACATGGAATTGGCCAGTTCAGGTGTGTTGACAGTGACACATCTTTGTCTCTGTGGGATTATAAAGTGCCACTACCAAGAACTAGAACATAACTTTTAGAGAAAGTTTCTGGGAAATTTACACTCTCCATAGTAAATAAATTGCTGTTAATTAGTAATTGTTGCCAGACACTGTAAGATTTGATCAAACCAATGTGACATAAGGGATTACAAGAGAGAACAGTGAGGGGAATGCAAAAGATACCTTTCCATGCACACAATTCTAACCTTCATAGCCATCATTTCTGGAAAGGCATAAAGAAACTGGGAATGAAATAGATGTGGAACAACCTCTTTGAAGTCTTCACTTTTTTCAACAGGACTGAACATGGAACTGGAAGATATAGCAAAGATCAAGAGTAAGTGTATTTTTTGTGCTGTTTAAATAGTTTTAAAAGGTCAGCAATTACAAATCAAGCTCACGTAGCATGGCCATATACATTACTTATAACTGAGACATTCATTGACATTAAGTTGTCTGGCTTTTCTCAAGATGTTTTTGGAATGTTTAGTTCGTTTTTTCCTAAGAAGAGAGATTTGGCAGATGAATGTGTCTTTTCCTTCGTTGTTAGAAGTTCCCATCTTTTCTAATGTTGTCAGTGTGCTGGAATTGCTTCAGTCGCATCATTCTGCTGTCAGCACCTGAAGTTAACATCAAGGGCTCGAGATACCTCATGTATACAAAGCATTTCCAAGAACAACTTTCCCTGTCTGTAAAGAGTTTAACATTTAGCTGCTGACTTCAGCTTCATTAGGAATTGAGGTCATGGAAGTTCTTAGAGTTGAATATGAATATTTAAACGTGGTATCCAGGAAATTAGTTTTGATAATTTTGATTTTTTTTACAGAGTTGAGAGAAGAACAGCTGGGCTGCTCTTTTTTGTAACAGCCTTTATAATAGAGTACATTTGAAAAAGTGACTTAGATGTGCCCCAGACATAACTTTCTGTGCAACCTAACTTTTTCCTCTTAATTTTCCTAAAGAAATTCTTCTTCAACTTGAAAGTGCTATTGATGCAGTAGAGCTGCCAGCAAATGGCAATGGAGTCACCAAAGAGGGAAGGTATATTTCTTCTCATTAATGTGTTTAAATGTTAAAAAGAACAGCAAATTGGAGCTGGGGCAGCTATTGGAGTTATAGCTCTATTCTAGTTTCTGGGAATAGTATTTATTGAAGATTTTGGTTTTCCTTAAATCCCCTATCTGTAATAATCATTATTTTTGGAGGAACTCCCTTTTTTAGTGATGCAAGAGTAAAAAATCCTCTGCTTGGGTTTCCTGAGCTGGAAGAAGCTCCTCATTGTGCTTCTTTCAATTTTGTGTCATGATTTAAGCAGAGGTACCAGTGCTGCAGTGATGTATCTGAGGTACCTCTGAGCTCTGGAAGACCATTTCTAAACTGATACTTGTACATGCTGAAAAAAAAATCACGAAAATTGCATGCCAATCTGCTTCTAACTTAATATTGGATTGTATGTTGGAGAGGAATGATGGGAAAATGGAATGATGTGGTCTGTGTGCTTCTGCCATGGCGATATTGTGCACTGTCTTTATAAGCAAGTACTTAATTTTATTCTTGGAAATTTTTCATTCATATGGAGACAGAAATGTGTATTGTTACCTGATGGTGAAATTGTTGTTCTGAAAGAGTAACATTATTTGTGCCCATTTGATTCTCTACAGTGTTTACTCATTTCTGCTTTTTCTTTGTAATTTGCAGCTACATCTTTGATCTGTTTGCAGAGGCCCAAATAACACTGCAGACCAAATCCTCCCTCTTGGAGTCACTGGAGCAGATTTTACAGTTTCTTTCAGGCCGTAAGTGCATGAATTCCTTAGATGTTTTACTCAGAATTTTCTACTTAGTGCAAGAAACTGGACATTTGTGTTGTTAGGGGTGACAATCAAATGACAAAGCTTCTACAAGCTAAAAACCTGACCTTAAGGACTTGTCTTTTTATTAAGGTGTGCAGGGTCCTCTGCTGGGAAACATATTTTATGTCTGTTCATGTAACTGAGCTGATGCTGAGAGCCACCTTGTGTCAAAACATGAGTGTCTACCCACGTATGGGTCCATGCATGCACATAGACACTTTTGCACAGACACTATTTTTCTCCAAAACCACATGGATTGTGGTGTGAAGCTTACTGACATTTTGCTGATGGTGCTTTTCGTGTCTTGAGCTCTTCTTTGGTCCTGGAGTTAAAAAACAGGAAGGTGGAGAATTGTATAATATGGGGTTTTTTTCTTCCTTGATTTAACAAGCTTATCTTATAGTGTCTGTCAGCATCTTGTTCTTAAATTGCTCTTCTGTAAAGAAAATGTTTCAACTTCTACATGTGTTAAGAAAATTATTTCGCTCTTACCAGCAGACTCTTCAGAAAAAATATTGAAGGGAGTAGAATACAGACTGTCAGTTCTGCAGGGACATCCTTGGATGACACATCCACCCTTCCTTTTTTCTTTGCCCAGCACCTTTCTCCTTTTAGGCCATTTGCATTCTGGCCTGACAGGTGCATCTGTTGATCATTTCTGCTGCAAAATCCCCACCATCAGTGTATTTCATATGTTAACTGCTCCTCTAATTGCTGCTTTAATTAGCTCCTTTCCCATTTTTAGGACAGAGAAGATCTTTATTAAGTGTATTTAATTTTCTGGGGTGACAGCTTCCCCGTGTCTCAGACATGGAATGCAAGTTTTATAGTTCTCTTTGCACCTTGGATAATGATGAAAAACTTGAAATAAATTATTTGTTTCTGAGAATATTTTCAAGTCATATTCAGTGTTGAGCTGTTCAGATAAGGTGTGGCTATAAGCAAGAGGATGTATATTTGTATTTTAAGAGTAATCTTTTGTTACTTTCTGCAGGTACTGGGATATTTGTCAATACATCTGGATTGCATAAGGTCTCAGATATTATTCAGGTAAATATTTGATGTTGCTTCTATAAATATCTGAAGGATAGAAGAGTTGGTTAAAAAGATGTGGAAAGATATTGGATCAATTTTATTCTTGCTGGCATGTACTCTTGTGCAATGGTACAAGTTTATAGGTTTTGAGGAGAAAGCTGCTGCCTGATGGGATGGATTAATCTGATTTTTACCCAGGTTGTTCTTTTGTAGTTCTGGTCTCCCTTTCTGGAGATGCTGGATTTAAATTTTGGCTGGGCTTAGCATCCACCAGGTGGAGCTGAGTCATTGAACTTCTCTGCAGCAGTGTTTGGGAATATGAGATCATCTTATGAAATAACAAGAGAGGCTAAGGAAAAGAGCAAACAAAAGATAATTTTACGGTATTTTTAAAATTTAATTATTAACTTATGAGATGTCTAAAATAAAAATGTTTCAGTTCCACAGGAACTGAATGTGACACTTATGGATATCCACATAATGTTGTCTGTCATCTCCCTGTTGTGCACTTCCAAAACTTTGATTATGAAAATCCCAAGGCCCATAAAATTTAGAGGTGCAGTGGGCCAGTAGTCTGTCTAAAATATGTGTGCAAAAGAGCACCAGAGATTAACACCCTGTTTAAAACTGAAAATGAAAAATATATTCAAACCTTGCAGACCTGTATGATAAGACAAGTCACCTGGGTGTGTTTTGAATGGTCCTGGCAGGTTTGCAGCACTGAATTCTGAATGCATGGGTGTCTGTGAGGGTGCATTCACAGTGGCATACACAGGATTTTGTTTTGCTAGCAGTGGTTAAACAAAACCTTCATGTGTGTTCCAGTACAGTAGTAGTGATTTATGTACACTGGTTCCAAATGGTTTGAACTGGGAGATGTTGCTGTTCTGAGGGAAGGCCAGGTGAGCCTAATTTAAATTGGTTTTCAAGGTTTCAAAGCTGAGAGATGAGTAAATTCAGATATAGAAACTAGGTCCCCTGATCCCAGGGGACTGTTGTCTAAGACTGGGAATAATTGTCTATGTGTGCTCTTTTGGGCTGTGGATGGACAAAAGGAGATTTGAATTTGGAGGGGAAAGCTCAGGTCCCTTTTCTGCTGAGGACATGCACATGAGCAGTGCCTGCAAAGGATCTGCCAGGGGAAAGTTTGCCACCTTGAGACAGGTGGGACATGGACAGAGTTTTTTTTGGGTAAACAGTGTTTGCTTCTTGCAGAGTCTTTGAGTATTAGTCTATCACCAGCTTGTTTTAATGAATAGTAATTTTTTTCTTACTTTTCAAAGAACATTATAAAAATGTCTTTTGTACACCACATCTTTGGCTATTTTTCAGAAGTAAATATTTCCAGGAATTATGCTTTTTTTTTTTTTTTTTAATTTGCTGGGGAACATCTTGTAACTAGCTGATACTCTTATGAGCTTGGCTAATTCCTATCAATGTCTGGAGAAATTTTGTTTAGAAAAATTAGCAGAGTTGTAAATATTTGAGAACCACAGCTGTTTTCATTGAAGTTGCATGGGGATGCTTTATGTTTTAAAGAGCATCATCTGTAGTCATGAAACATCACATGCAGGAAAGGGGGGGAAAAGCATAACTCTGATAGAAGCTTTTAATTTAATATATGGGCAATTAGATATTATTACAACTTGATTATTTTTCTAAGCAGAATGTTATTAGCAGAGGGACCACAGATGAAATTTTAAACTGAAGGAACTCAAAAAGTTCTTCTGTGCATGGTTGTGACTGATCTCCTTAGAGTGTTTGTTTATCCACAGTCAGAGTTATGAACAGTGTGAATAATAATATTGTCATTTGTATAGTTTGAGTATATTTAGATACTGGGTTGCAGTTTTTGGAACAATGAGAGCACCATGTGGGTAGCAGGAATTGCCTGGAAGAACTACATTTATTTAAGGTTCTCTGTCTTGTTTGATAACAAGAGTAAGGAAATAAATTTAAGGTTATTGCAGCAGTAACTTTTGTGGAGACATTTCTCAGTGCAAAGACACATTAGGGGTTTTACCAAAAGCATGTATGGGTATGTATGTATCAAAAATAAAGTGGCCAGCAGGACCAGGGAGGTCATTGTCCCTCTGTGCTGGGCAGTGGTGAGACTTCACCTTGAATCCTGTGTCCAGTTCTGAGCCCCTCATGACAAGAAGGACATTGAGGGGCTGGAGCATGTCCAGGGAAGGGAATGGAGCTGGGGAAGAAGCTGGAGCACCAGGAGAGGCTGAGGGAGCTGGGGGGGCTCAGCCTGGAGGAAAGGAGGCTCAGGGGGGACCTTCTCACCCTCACAGCGCCCTGACAGGAGGGTGCAGCCATTGGGGGTCAGGCTCTGCTCCCAGGGAACAAGGGACAGGACAAGAAGAAATGACCTCATGCAGTGCCATGGTAGGTTCAGGTTGGACGTCAGGGAGAATTTCTTCATGGAAAGGGTGGTCAGGCATTGGAACAGGGTGCCCAGGGAGGTGGTGGAGTTCCCATCCCCGAGGGTGTTAGAGGAACGCCTGGATGTGGCACTCAGTGCTCTGGGCTGGTGACAAGGTCACAGGTTGGACTCTACCATCTTGGAGGTAATTTTTAACCTAAATAATTCTGTGATTCCATTTCCCTCCATTTTCCAGACAGTCTTCAGCATGGATCCCCCAGAAGGAGTCACAACAGGGTTCCTGCCACGTCAGGCAATATCTAAATATTACAAGGTATGGGAGGCTTTGTGTGCTGCATTTATTCTCACAGCATTTGATGTCTGTACTCCTTGTATCTCAGACTTGGAAGGATGTGGATAGTACAGCACATGATGTTGATTACAGGGAGGAAGAAAAGAGCACACAACCTAAAAAAAAACATCAAAGGAACCTGTATTTAATTTAGATTCTGAAGAAAGCCACAATTTTTAAAGGAGTTTGTAAATGAATTATGACAACGCAGCAAATGTAAATTTCATAAAAATTTGAGACTGCATATTAAGCAAGAATCAATGTGTTCTTCCACTAAAGTATTTTTAGTTTAGACCAGTGCTAAGCAAATGCAGCAGAACCACTGAACCTCCTCCCTGAAGTTGTTTTAATTTGTTTAAACTTTGGAATTTATGGGATGTGTTGTTATGATGAATTTCAGGAACAGATTTTTTTCTAGCTATCACATTTAGACTTGATACTATTTTTGTTGCCAAATGAAGCAAATCTTTCCACCACTATAGTCTTCTGTATTTAATCTGTGTAGTTTATGCTGGTGGAAATACCCAAATAACTGGGTTCCTGGTCTCTGCTCGGATCAGCCCATGAAAAGGTCTTCCCATCATCTGACTCAAAAATGACTGGTTGGATGGTGATGCACTTCTTATGCTCCTTAGTTTTGAAATATTGGAAGCAAAATAGGAAGGACACAGGAAATTATACAACCTCAGTAACAATGTAAAAGTGGTGCTAATTGCATTAATTTCTCTTAATGTAGGCCGGGTGTTTTTTGAAAGATGAAGTTCAAGTTTGTTTCTGCAGCCATTGCTAGAAATGTTTGTTACTTTTGTTCAGGTACATATTCATGTGGATAATGGTAATCAGAAAAAGAAACAAAGGACAGATCTCTGGAACTCATCATCTTCAAAAAGACAAGGTACAGGACTGTTCTTAGGGAGGTTCGTGCAAAAGCTGGATTGAAAAATCCTCAACTGCTCCTTTCTGATTCAAATAGAAGAAAATAAGTGCAGCTTCATTGTGGATACAATGAGTTGGGGACAGGCTTTTCACTTTTATAGTTATTTCTGAAGGGGAGGTGACATATGGCATCTCAATATAAAAATGTCTTGTACCATTGGTGTTTTGTGCACTGCTGGAGTTCTTTTAGGGCAATGATTCTGGTGAAAGAAGATCATCTCCATCATGGAATTGTGTGTATTGTTGTAGAGAAAATCTTTAGAGCAGCCAAGAATGGGGAACTCTCCTCCAGCCCTCAGGTTGATATTGAAGTTCATGACAGGTTCTGTTCTCCTCATACCAGCTGGATTTCTCTGTACAACTGTGTTGAGTTAAACACAAAATTGATGTTGAATAAGGTTGTAACTTCCTGTGGCAAGAAGGGGGTTCAGGTACAGTTATGATGGCAAAAATGTTTGTCAGAGATTGTATAGGAGTAAATTCCGTTCCATTCTCTGTTGAAATTATTTACATTGTGGAGGTGTTACAGTTTGACTCATTTTTGGAGCTCTGTAGGAAAGGTTCATGTGATGTGCCAGAGAGCTTGTCCAGATCACGTGAATTCTTAGGCAGAAAATGTTTTGCCTTGGAGCATGTTTACTTTTACTGGGATCACCTGCTTAGCGAAACTTCCTAATTTGAGCAACTTTCAAGATGTGTTGTCAGTTCTTGATAGTTTCAGCTTCAACTATATTTTCCAGTTCGACTGGGATTTCTCTCTCTCCTTGTCTCTCTCGTCCCACCCGTTTTGTTCCTTATGCTCTGCAAATCCCATATCTGGAATTACCTCATTATAACTGTTCTTCAAAACCATACATTTAGAAGAAAAGAAACTTGGCTTCTGAATCAAAGGCTTATCCTAATGCTCCTAATAAAGCAGCACCAAGCTTGGGTTTGTTGGACTGCAGCATTCATTCTTTCTGATTTTTTAAATTTTTTTTTTAACAATTAGGTTGAAAAGAAAACATTTTCAGTTAGAGAAGACAGATGCAGATCCCTTTATCTAAGCCTTCTTAACAGAGCACTGTTCAGGGATTTTTATAAATACTTTGTCTCATAACTATCTACTTAATTATTCAGTTATGTGCTCATGATTATGTAAGTATCTGTTTCATGGAAGTCCTTCTTTTAAGGACAAAAGTAACATTTTTCAAAGAATGAATTTCCAAGGATTTACTGGGTTTGCACATAATATCCCCTTAAATATTTCCATGAAGTTAGTGTCGTTTGGTAATCACTAAATGTTGTTTTCCTGAGATATTCCTCAATTGGAGTTTTAAGATAAGATATAGGAATAATTCTGAGTAGATTTGGTTAAAGATGGGTGCAGGAAGAGGCTAATACAAACATTTTTAGGTTAATTGCACAATTTGGAGGATTTATACACAGAAATACAAAGCAGTGAGAGAATTCTGTGATTTGGTAAATGGATTCTAATATATTTATTTTTCAAATAAGAATGGTATTTGCAAGTACCTGTGTAACACACCTCAGTATGCTGAGACTTGTGCTTTATATAAGCCTAGCAGAGGCCAGACATGTTAGATGGAGTCTCTGGTTTCCTGTAATGATATAGCAAATTGTATAGAAATAATTCAAAACATTTAAGAACAGCTGTTTTCCAGGGATTTTGTGGAAATTACCCACTCAAACATCATTCTCTACAAAGTAGTTGGTGAGGAGAAGGCATAGCTTGGGGTGGCTGATGAGATTCCTGCCTGAGTCATCTGGGAACAGATGCTGTTATGTCTACAATATTGGACTGTTGCAGTTTAATTTAAAATGCTCCTATTCATGGTTTGCTGTAAACCACCATTTTGTAAACTATTAGCAAGCCATTTCTCCTTGCATTAGCTGTCCTTGTACCAGGAATGGAAAAAGCTGCTGCAGAGATTAGCTTTGTTTAACACCCAACACTTCCTGCTGGTGAATGGGACCTGGAAAATTGATTTATTGTTGTAAAGCTTAAAGACATCATTGCAGCACACCAGGCTAAAAATGTACAGCAGTCCCAACTTGTCCAGGAACTGGGAACTGGTGCTTGGCAGTTGTCATGCTGGGTTACAGAAATGTGTTTCCAGCTGAGCACTGGAGGAGCAGACATGAGGGGCTGGTGTCCTTTTCCAGGCCATCCCATATTAGCCCAGTTTGGTTTTGTGCTGGGATTTTTTGGGTTCCTGGCTGAGTGACTGTGTTGTCTGTAGATACTCACTGGCTTGTCCATGCACAGATCCAAACTACTTTGCACCAATTGTTAGTGTGAGTTAGAAAGATAGAGAATTTGCTGAATTTTGGAATGTGAGTCTTCCAGAGTTTGGACATTGTCTGTCCAAATGAAGGAATGGTAAATTTTTTAGCTAAATGTTCACTTGTAATTCTAAGCTGTAAGTGACTCACTCACTGGGCAAATACTAATGGGGATTTCCTGAAAACATCAGCCTTTTCTTTTGGAAACTAAGGCTTTGATTGACATACGTAAATTTCAAAGAAATGCATGTGATACTTGTGTGAGAGGTATTTATTTTTATTACTGAAAACAATCATGAAAATCAGAAACAGAAACAAAAGCTGATGTTTGATCTGGCTGCTCTTGTTCTTGACATGGATATTGTTTTCATTCCCTTGTGCCCGTGTCTCTGACAAGCTGATGCAGTTTTCAGCAAGCTTGAGCTGAACAATTAATGAAATTACTGATGAGATTTATTTATTTTTCTTAATAACTTACATATTTTCAGAGTCAGACACCAAAATACATGTGTGTGTGTCTATATATATGTGTCACCACATCCCACAAAAGATTTGAGCAGAAATTGAAATGTCTGGGAACTGACTCTGGGGAAAGTGGGAAGTTTAGGTGAAAGATTTATAGCCTATATAGTTATATAGGAAATTCCTCATAAAGAAGGGGTTATTTTTTCAAGCAGGTGCACAGTTGGACACACTTTCTTATTACATTATGAGGAAGCAGTGATGTTTTAATTAAAAGTCATTACACCTGGCAAGAACCAAAGAAGGACATACTGTACATCTGGAATTTTAACTTTGGATGCTGTCTGGTTTACTCTCAGAAGTTCAGGTGCAGTGTGCCATATGCTGGTCATAGTCTAGTTTTTCCACTTTGACTGACTTCTTAGTGTTTTGTCTTTATTTAATGCAGGGAAGACTTTAAGCTATTGGTGTTTCAGCCCTGGGTACAGCATGCATGAGCTCGTTCGACAGGGAGTCAGGACAATCATCCTCACCAGTGGGACACTCTCCCCTCTCTCATCATTCACAATGGAAATGCAGATGTGAGTACCTGGGTGTGGGAGCACTGCCATTCCTGAGAAATGCACAATCTGCTCTCGTGGATTTAGGTTTTATCTCAGGATTTTAAAGTGTTCTGTTTGCCCAGAGAAGCTGTGGCTGCCCCATCCCTGGAAGTGCCCAAGGCCAAGCTGGACAGGGTTTGGAGCAGCCTGGGATAGTGGAAGGTATCCCTGCCCATAGCAGGGGGTGGAATGAGATGAGCTTTAAGGTTTCTTCCAACCAAACCATTCTATAGTTCTGGAACTGGTAGGGAATAATATAATGGGTATGACTGGGATCTTCCTCTTTTTTTTTCTCCAGCCCTTTTCCTGTTTGCCTGGAGAATCCTCATGTAATTGATAAACACCAGCTCTGGGTTGGGATCATTCCAAAGGGGCCTGATGGAACTGTGCTTACTTCCACCTATGAAAGAAGGTAATGAACTTCCATGTGGAATCCTTCTTTGAAGTGTAGAGTTCCAACGTTTTGGGTTCTGTTAACAGGAGTATGCTAGCTAAGTAAGGGATCTCTGGTGGTTTTCTTGGATAAATGCTGGATAACAACGCCCTTTAACCACCCCTACTCAAGGCCTGGAAGGGATCAGGTACCAAGGGCTTGATAGTCTTTGATGGCCTTGACCAGCCTCAGCTGGGACCTGCACCCACAATCATCCCCCCAGGAGCTGCACTGAACCCCATCCAAAAATTTTTTTTTTGCTGAAGGCTTAATTGATTTGAAACGTAACTGGCCTTTGCAATAACTATTTTTATATTTAAAGCTTGTCACCATGCCAAGCCTCTCTTTCACCTCCAGGTTGCCTCCTTAAGGAAAACATGTCCAAATATTTGTCAAGCTTTTCATCATCATTTTTCTTGCTCATATGGTCTTCCATCACTTTTTGTCTCTGATCTGTTGTTCAGAGTTGGCAGTGCTTCTGCTGCCAGCAAAGGCCAAATTGTTCCACAGAACTGGAAAGGGACCCAGCAATTGTAATGGATTTTTACAGAGAAGTCATAATCTGGAAAACCCTAATTTCTCATTTTCAGAAGTTTTAGTGTACCATTTCAGTGCATTTCTGTTGAAGGTGCTGTCTTTTAAAGAAGAAGGGTTGGGGATTCCACCCCTCCAGGGCTTTAGAACATGGGGATTTTTTTGAAGGAAAGAGATTCATTGTGTTCACTCTGTTTTGACAACATCTCTGTGTTGATACTGGTATATATGTTAGGTATATATGGTAGGTTTTTTCCCTGCATATATAAATTTTCTGGGAAAACAGTACACAAAACTGCGGGGCACTAAAAAAAAAGGGAACATAAAGGCATGAGAGAACAGGGGAGTTTTCAGTCAGGTCTGGAAGAACATAAATATGGCTCATTGGAGGACAGGACTTCTTCAGCTAAAGTGATTTACTAAATAATAACCATAGTAACCAACTTGTGCTGCAGCAGTGCCACACCTAATTCATCAATTATTACATTAAATCATTGTAATGTTAGTCAAGCTTGGCACACTTCCTAGCAGAACTCTCACGTGTGTTGCTACTCACATGGCTGCCCGTTTCTACCTCTGCATTTTGAAATATTGAAGCTTAGATTATCTTCAGAGCTATCAATATTTCATAGTATTAATAAAATGTAGTCAAGGTATTATTAATTCTTGCCCTTGGTGTTGATGATTGCCGCAGGAGGAAGAGCACCTGGGAGTCTGGAAATGTTATTTTGGATGAGTATCAAAGGAAGTCAGTGTGGATGAAAAACATAGAAAAGGAGATGCAATTGTGTTATTTGTTTTTTCTTCTTTGTAGGTTTTCAGAGGATTATTTATCTTCTCTGGGGAAAACAATTGGTAAGTGAAGCATGTGGATTTCAGAAATGGGTTAATGCCCAGGATTATTGGAAATTTAGAAAGGGCAATGCTAAAGAAGATGCAGTAAGAGAAAGGTAAAGGATTGCAGTGTATATCTTGCTGCTGTCAGGTTTTCTGTGTTTCTGCTTGCTCAAGGCAGCTGGCTGCTGCAATAGTACACAAAATTGAGTCTCTGGCCTCATATTTCCAAGTCTGGACTTCATTTTTATTGTCAGGAGTTAGTGTTTGAGTCAAAAATGTGGTTCCTAAACACTGTCAGAAAGTGACTCAAACTAGGAAATCAATAGCCGGAGATGATGCAGCCAAGGATGAGCAGAGCAATTGAGGATCACAGGAAATCAGTGTAATTTTTAGTGATACTTTAAATGTGTCAAGCCTTCCCGAAGTCAGCATTTATTGTTTTGGTAATGTTTTATAAATATAATAGAATTACAAAATCATAACACATAAGGACAGAATAAAAGCAGATAATTTGTCTATCTTGGCTAACGCAATTGACAAGAATCTGTTAAATCTAGGAATGCTTGAAGGATATGCAGGAGAAATGAAAGCTAGTTTAGCTTCTATGTTAAAGTTTACACCTTGATAAGATTATAAAATGATTTTAAGCAATGAAACAACTTTGGATACACATTCATGTCAAGAAAGTAGAAAATACTATGGAAGGAGGCCACGCTGTTGTTTTTCCTCTGCAGTCCATGTTCTCCATCCCAGGATGAAAATGCCCTCAGCTACACACTTGTCTTCTCTCCCTGCAGGTAACCTTGTGCGACTTGTGCCACATGGGATGTTGGTGTTCTTCCCATCGTATCCAGTCATGGATAAGAGCCTGGAGTACTGGAGAGTATGTTCATTGCTCTGCCTTTGTTAGGTGGTTTGGTTACTTGCATCAGGCAGCTTGTAGTTATTCCATTTAACCATGTCAATTAAAACCTTCTAGTGGAAGATGTCGCTGCTCATGGCAGGGGGTTGGAACTAGATGATTATTAAGGTCCCTTCCAACCCAAAAGGTTCTGGGATTCTATGAAAAATTCTTTGTTAATAAGTAAATTATAAAATCTGGAATGTAAAATCTCAAGTAAGACTTATTTTGATCACAATATACTGAAGTGCAGTGCTGCAGAAACCAAATCCAAAAGAATCTTAATATATTATTCCATCTGATGTCACATTTTTAGTTCCCCAGAACTTTCTTTATTAAACCTCTGAATTAGAATTGATCTCTGTGTTTCAACACTTGGCGGGTGGAAATCCCAATATGAGCATTTCTCCTTTAACTTGTAACCATTGCAACTATAACTTCTGGTTTTTCTGTGCTCATGAGTTGAATGTCCCAGGTGAGATTTGCTAGAACAGTTTTGGTTTAAATGCTCCTTGAAAAGGCAGGGGCAGAGGTTTCATGCTGTGGAGTGGGACTGGGAGGTGTGTGCTGGAACTCTCCCATCTGCCTGATGTCTGAGGTGCACCAACTGCAAGGAATCACTGCTAGTGCTCTCAGGGGGTTGCACGTTTCTGCTTCCATCTCTTCCTGTGTTTGGCAGCAGAGGAGCAGGCTGTGGTGGGGAAGTGTAGTGACCATTTCTGAGCCTTTCTGATCTTGTGGTGTGAGCACACTTGGCATTTCTGACCCGCTCCTTTTCTTTCTAACAGGAGCATGATTTTGCCAAAAGAATAGAAGAAGTGAAGCCAATGTTTGTGGAACCCAGGAACAAAGGAAGCTTTTCAGAGGTTGATTATTTGCATTATGTACCTCTATAATTTTCAGAAATTGTTTCTATGTTTAATGACCTTCTCTAAGGTGTGTTTGGGTGTGAAACTCCCCAGTTTTTGGCCTAGGGTGAAAGTAAAACTCTGCTACTTTGAAGTGTAGTTTTCCTGTGTGCATTCTTCTTTTCCTCTCTTGTCTGGCCATGCAGGGTTCAGTCTTCATTTAAATCTGGTGACGTAACAGCAGCTAAAATACACAAGTGCTGAGTAATAGAGTTGGTGGAAAGCTGTCACTTCAGTAGTCAGCATTTGTAAATATTCTGCAGGATTTTTCCTCCAGCTCATCCTGATTTGGATGTTTAAGAATTGTGCAGTGTGTCATCCTGTTTATTTATAACTATTCTGTTTGCTTCTTGGAATAATTAATATCTAATAATTGCTTTCCTGTTTTGTCTGTTTTACTTAACGATCTGCAGAAACACAGGATGGTTCATCCTATCAGAAGTATCTGATTTTTTTTATGCTTATCCAGATGTGTTCTGGATTTCACAGTGATATAAGGATTTTGCTGGGAAAATGGCTTCTCACACTTCCAATTAGTTAAAAGTAAAGACAATTATACTAAGCCAAATTAATCACAGTTTAGATCTTAGTGTTCAAGCCAAATTTAGTTAGTACGGTGTAATACCATTCTTCCTCTTAAACTTGTTTCTATTTTAGGTTATTGATGCCTATTATGATAAAGTTGCCTGTCCTAAGTCGAATGGAGCTGCTTTTTTGGCAGTGTGTCGAGGCAAGGTAATGTAATTGATAATCTGTTTCATCTGAGATCAGATTATATAATTTATAGGAAAAAAACTTCATTTTGGGTTTAAATATATTTCTTATTATTTGACTGTAATTATATGTGGGGAAAAAACAAGTGCTCTGAAGTTTTTTGAAAATTAGGTCACATTTCTGTATGATTCACTCCTGTTTTTATTGAGGGGACATATTTTGATTTCTCTGAAGTGGATGAGCATCATACTTGCATTTCATGTTGGCTGCTCACTGAAAACATAACCCATTAGATGAGAACAGCTGTTCTGGAGAACTGTAATGAAACAAGTTAAAACAACACTGCTGCAAACCAAACATAATGCTTAGCTTTAAAACATTTGCTTTGTTAACTTCCTGTTCTCTGGACACATTTGATGGCCCTTCCTTTGCATCTTCCAGTGCTGGTAAATTGACTTATGTTTATCAGTGGAAATATTGGTGAAATTACTCTTAGAGCCCTTTGCTGCTGTTCACTGTGTACCAGGAGAAGTTACAACTTCTTTTGCAATTTTGGTCCCAGTCTCCAAAGGGGCTGTTGGAGTGAAGGAAAGATGTAGCTTTCTCAAGTCTTGTTGCTGAGATTTGGAGAATTGATTCAGCTGAAAAACAAAACAGTTTTTTTTCCCCCTTGATATTTTTTCAGTCTGTTCAACTTTATTAATTTCACAAATTATTTGCCAGCACAGTGAGTGTGTACAGGGGCACATGAGTGCCAAATATTTGATGGGATGTCAACAGCACAGCTGCTGGACATGGCACTATAGTCTGGTGAATCTGATGGCTTTCTGTTATTGCTTTGAAGTGATTTTTTAAATTTTTGCTGTTGGAGAAGTTTTGTTATGTTGTTATGTCTTGTTAACAACCAGGGTGTGGAAGATTTAAACAAAGGTGTTGACATGTTCTCAGTACAGCTGCTTTTATCCAGGAGCAGCACAGCCATTAACAGGGTTGGCTGAGCTGTGCTTTGGCACAGGAAAAAGCCAAGTTTAAACTCTTGATAATAAAATTTACAAAATCTAGTTGAAATTATAAATTATTCATTGGAACTATTGATAAACTACACTTGGCCAGGGAGTTAATTGAATGGAGAAAAAAGGCAAACAACTGCTGAATTGCCCTGAAGTGTCACTTCAAACCCTGCTGATGATGGAAAACTGTCCCTGCAGGCCAGTGAAGGCTTGGACTTTGCAGACATAAATGGACGAGGAGTCATCATAACTGGGCTTCCATTTCCCCCTCGTATGGAGCCCAGAGTAATTTTAAAGATGCAATTCCTGGATGAGATGAGGAGAAGTGGTGCAGGTGCACAGGTGAGACAGGACAGCTTCTCACTCTTGGCTGTTTGAATGTTCATGTTATTGGTTCTCCCTCTTGTCCTAGTGGGTTTTGGGTTTTGTTATCCTCTCAGCATCGTGGGACCACGAATATCAAAAATTAAAAACAGCCTTGGGAATTTGTCACAAATTCCCTTTTTTTAATAATGTTGAGAGTTCCAAATTCTGGCACAGTCTTAAATATAGGCCCCAATAAAGGTTGTAATTAAAGTTTACAGAATCTTTGATGTGTGTTATCTCTCATTTTGAGGGATGTATTTCATCCAGAGAGAGCATGGGCAGGAAGCCTGTGCTGGCTGTTTTGGGAATCATTGTTTTGGAAGTGTGGTGGTGTGTGTTGGGATGTTTGGGTTTGGTCTTCTATTGCTTCAGGCACAAGAGTGAATGATGTTACAGTTTAGTCTGATCTACAGGTCTCAAAGAATATGGAGAGTCTGTTGTACTGCCAAGGTTCTGAGTGCACCATATAGGAAATAGCCTCTCCAGCTGGACATTTCTTCTTGAGTTTTCTGTGCTCTGTAAGTCAGGTGTGACTTTTGAGTCCACCTGTCTTTGGTTTTCCTCAGCTCTTTGAGATTTGTCAGTACATGTGGTTGATACTATCCAACATCTGTGCTTCACTTTTTATTTCTTTAGGAAAAAAATAGTGACTATACAGCACAAAGAGTACATTTTACCTGGTAAATAATGTTAATTCTTCATCCTACCTCTCTCAGTATCTGTCTGGGCGTGAGTGGTACAGTCAGCAAGCGTCCCGGGCTGTCAACCAGGCCATCGGCCGGGTCATCAGGCACCGCCAGGACTACGGGGCCATCTTCCTGTGTGACCACAGGTAAGCCCTGGCTCACTGCATCCCAGAATATTTGGGGTTGGAAGGAACCTTAAAGCTCATCTCATTCCAACCCCTTGCCAAGGGTAGACATACCTTCCACCAGGCCAGGTTTCCCCAAGCCCCATCCAACCTGGCCTTGAGCACTTCCAGGGATGGGGTACCAACAACAGCAACAGCTTTATATCCCAACATAGGTGTTGGTATTTTGAATATAAATGTGCTGATGCTGCTGTTTGGAAAAGGCTACAATTCATAATAATAAAATTGATTTATATAACAGGTTATATAAATATTGCACAGCTTCAAGAAAGTAACCAGATTGTTATCTTCTGCTCCCCAGCTATGTAGTCTTGGAGCTGCAGAAGGAGGTTAATGGTTTTAATGGAAAATAAACCAATTTTTTGAATTCACGTTTGTAATACCATGGGAAATTATGTGACAGCAACTTATGGTTTTGCATTTTCTCCATCTTTCACTTGAGATGGCAGTCAGCAGCACTGCAGTGTTTTGACAGAAGTATGGAAATGAGGACAGATTATGTTACTGAAACAACACTATTTATAGTCATATCCTATATTAACATTATACTGCATTAATATCCATTTCTGCAATGCTAATTAGTAGAATATGTATATTATAGGCACCAGGAATTTAATTGATGGTACATGGAATCAGCAAAGTTCTTTCTCCTGAGTAAAGGCATCACCCCATTATATTTACTGCACTGTTATGTCTTTATTTGTGTTGCTGCTTCTCTCTTGTCATTTTGGATAATGTCTAGATTTGAAAAGACAGGTGTCTGCTAAGGAAGGCAGGAGCCTCTTGAAGTGGAAAACATAAACTCCCTCCCTCCAAATTATTATAATTTTGAAATTAAGGGGGTCACAGGCAAATATATGGGAGTAGAAAAAATAGTTCTTTATTAGGAAAATAAAAATGCAGTAATACAAACCAACACTGATGGAATCAGAACATTACCCTGACACCCTGTGGCCCAGTGTTAGTAGTAGTCCTGTTAAATGATGTCTGCAGTCCTCCTGCAGTGACAGGTGTGGTTCTGTTGAAGCAGGGATCCTGTAGAAGGGTGGAAGGGTGGAGTTTTCCTCTGGGGATCCAGTGGTGGTGTAGATGAGCCTGGCCTTGCTCTGGGAATCCAGTGGGAAAAGGCTGACTGTGGTGTTCCAAATCTCAGATTATATCTGGGTAGGAATGCTTGGCTCCTCCCCTGGGTGGAGCATCTCCCAATGGGATGATGGAATTTTATTAGCCATGCAGTGAGACTCAACGGCCCATTAACAGAAGATGTTTCCCAGGGGGAGGATGGGTGGAAGAGATAAAAGAAAACTTCCCCACCTGGCTTTAATGGCTGACCCATTAACAGAAGATAACCACCCCACCAAATTCTAACAGCTGGCAAAAGAATACACACCCCTGGCCACCTCTTGCATTGCAACCTAAGACAGATAGTGATCTGAGTTTGTTTAATTAATTTAGCCCAACCTGGCAAATAATTCTCAGGTTTTCCTATCCTGCCCAGGTTCACAACTTGTGATGTCAGAGGCAAATTGCCTTCATGGGTCCGTCCCTACGTGAACGTTTATGACAACTTTGGGCATGCGGTCAGAAGTGTCTCCCTCTTCTTCCGTGTCGCTCAAGAAATTGTAAGTGTCTTAAAAAAAAAATCCACAAAATGAACAACCACTTACCTCAGTAGTGTTGGAAACTGGGAATGCTAAACTAGGTTAGAGATGTGAGAGAATCACAGAAGAATCACAGAGAATCTCAAATTGTAAGGGTTGCTTAAGGATCACCGAGTTCAGCTTTGTGCTCCTCGCAAGCCTGCCCAACACGGCGTCACTTGTCACTTCTAAACACTGGAAGATTTACTGGAAACGAGGTATGCCTCATCTTTCTCCAAGAGTGATCTGGGGCAGGATGTTGTTCTTATCCTGGGCAACTCATTAGCTTAGATCACAAAAACAACTTCCTCTTCCAGTTCCTCCTAAATAAATATGTATTTTTTGGCTGGTATGCAAATTCTGGAGCTGATATTGGCATCCAGAGGCTTTCTATCTCAGGATGAGGTTATATGTGTGGAAGGATCATACCCCAAAATTTAAATTGAAGCTGACTAGTAATAAAGAGTAATACAAACCATCAGTTGTTATTGCAGTTCAACACTGGGTCATCTTTACTGAAAGGGCTTCTCTATTACCATTAGGAAGTTGATGTTGCCTGTAATAATAGTTCCCTGATTTAAAAAGTAATATTGTAAAAAGGCTTCCTAATTCACTGGAAAAAGTCATAGAAGAAATGGGCTGGAAGCCAGAATGGGAAATTATTTGCTCCCAAAACGGAGGTTATGATTAAAATTAGCACTTAAAAATTTCATTTACAGACTTGGACAAGTTCCTGGAAGATGCTTTAGCCAAATACAAATTGTTCAGACAAATTAGTTACATATGGATGATGCTGCAGGACTTGATGATCTTTTCTGATCATAAGTGACAGTTTCATGGTAAATCAAAACCACAACCCATGTGCTTTATCAGAAGGAGCTGTTGTTGCAAGGATAGCATTAGGAAGTGATTGTTCTTTAGCAGGTCATGATCCTTTTTCTGGTACCAGGTCACTTAGAGTTAAGCCTCCTTACTGCACTTCAGCTGTGTTTCTTTTTTCCAAAAGCCCATAAACCAGCAGTCTTGCTACCAAAGGTTATTTGGGGAAAAGGAGATGTCTTTGGATTGCTGCTGAGATTTTTGGTCACAGATGGAGTGGAAGTGGCCTTTGCCTGTGGTAACACTTTGTACACTGCTTGCAGATGCCCCCACCCCTGCCTCAGTGCCCTCCTGGACGTGCTGGTTCCCTAAGTGAAAGCAATGCGGCACCATCTACTTCATCTGAGCAGAGCCTCTCCCTGCAAAAAGCTAAAAACCTGGATGACCATGTTCCAAGTTTGAAGAGGAAAAGGAAAGGTAATGTTTGGGTCCTCACAGATACACTTTTTTGTTTTAAGCTGAGCCACAAAAAGGAGGGTCAAGAAGATAGAAACTGGAATGGGAGGGAAAGTAAGGAGAGCTCAAAGACTGAATGTAAAAGTCTGGTCAGAAGGGACATAATTATGCATTAGAAAATGGAGGAAAACAGTTGCAATTGCAGAGAAAAGAGGCAGATGGGGATGCCAAAAGTATCCCACAGAGGAGGAGGAGGAGTTTTTGTGGAGTATCACAAATACTTTGGAAAATAAGACCTGGAAATCTCTTTCTGCCTGGCACTGGCTTCCATATGTCCTCATCTCATCCTGTTGTATAGATGACTCTTACTCAGTAATCTTAAGAAAACAAAAGGGACATGGAAACAAAACCATATTTAAAATTTTATGGGTAGCTAATGCCAAAGAATAAATGTCAGATATTCTTTCAGCACTCTAGACTGCTTGCTGGTTTGGAACAGAGCAGTGAAGTTTGTTTAAAGCTCTGGTTCCTAATCAGTTATGAGTGAGTGTGAGGGTGAGTTCACATTGTATTTAAGCCAGTTGTTACCAATAAGGCTTAATAAAGCCTGGTAGCAGCCAGTATGATTGCTGTTTATTGTTCAAAGGGATTACTTTAGTCACCATTTTTTTCCCCCCCTCTCAGTTTCCAACTGTGCACTTTTTCCTCCTTCCTTTGACTTGAGTCCATCTTTTGTGCAGTTGCAGAGTGAGCTGCTGAGCTGTGCTAAACCAATTTATTTACCTTCCATACACTTGACTGCCAGATCCATCTCAAAGGATGGGCTGGAATGTGTGACTGGAGGTGAAGGGATGAAGCTGCATTTCCTGTTTAATAGAGATTTTCAGTTGCATTGCATCAGATGTAATGTCAAACTCCCCTGTAGTCATAGTGATCATAATATACTCCCATTCTTATCAAAACAGTGACTTTCCTTAGTAACTGACTGTTGGAGTTATTTCACAAAGTAGTGGAAATACATTTTGAAGGTAATGCCTTACGGAAATATCAAGCTGATACTAATTTAACCCTACTTACAGATCAAAATTCTTATATTTGAAACCTGGATTCTGATTAGTGAGAATATGAAGTTTGGACCTTGGTAACTGTGTCTTATGGGTATTGATACTGTGAGAATTGTAGGCTTTAAAAAAACTTGCACTGTTAAAAAGTAATAAATCATGTTTTGCACCAAAATCTCTTAAAAACTCCAGAGCTCAATTTTGGGAAAATCCATACATCTAAAATAATGGAACAGCTGCTTCAGTAAGACTTTTTCCCATTGATCCTAAGCCATTTTGGGGTTAAATGACTTAAGGAAAAGTTTGAGGGCAGTCTGCCAGGTTGTAGTAACAAATGCTTGAGCAATTTTGGAAGTTATGTATAAAAGCAGTCTTCTTACTAAATTATATAATGCAATTTTGCAAGAGGTGGAAGATTATTTAATGCATCAGCACATTCGTGGGTTGCTTTGTGAGATGGGGAGCTATCACTAAATTAAAGAAAATGCAGGAGAGAATGTGGAATGTGAATTTGTCTCCTGTGTTCTGCTGTGATGGCAGGAAATGGAGATGGAGCACCCAGCCTGTGTGTGGAATATGAACAGGAGTTTGTCTCACCCCGAAGAAAATGTGTTGGGCTCTTGGATGCCTTGGAACGCAGTGAGAAGAGCAGTGAAGATGCAGAGGAGGAAACTGATTTGCTAGGAGAGGAAAAGGTAATGGCAAAATACGTCCTTGTAAGTAATAATTGCAGGCTCTAAAGCAAAATGCTTTTGGCATCCAGAGAAACAGCTCAACCCTCTTTCAAGAAAAGCTCACTGTAATCAGCACCAGTAAATGCAAGTTCTCATAACTAAATTAATCAAAGGGTTTCCTTGCCACTTTCAAGTAGATGATCAACAGGTAGGTGCTCGTTCTGTGCTCCAAGGCTGCTGACCAGGAGATTACTGAAATTTAACCACACTTTCTGAGGAGCAAGGAGCTCTTGGAGAAGAAGTTTGTAAATACATGATTTGTCCTGGGTGGCATCTGTGTCAGCACTTGGTATGAGATCAGATATTGAATTCAAAAAGGGTGGGAGAGGGTTTATGTATTAGAATTTGCATTTTCAGATTAAAATCTCTGATTTGCCCCAGAGAAAGAATGTTGCTGACTTGTAGAATATTTTATCTGAATCAAAAATCCTCTATCACATTAAGATCAACAAAGCTGCTTCTGTGCTGTTAATTTTCTTTCCTCTTGGACTGGTATTTTTGATACATCAGTGATTAAGCTGTGTTCTTACTTTCCCAAAACCCCTGTTAGCAGTAGTTGGAGAGGAGGCTACCTTTACTTGGTTGGAGTATTTTACTTCTGGCTTGCAGAGACAGTCATGGACTTCAGCAATACCTATTGCAGCATTCTGAAGTATTTCCCTCAGGGGAAGAATTCCTGAGGTAAAATGTGTAAATGTAGGAGTGTCTGGGGAATATCTGAGTAGGCCCAAGGACATGAATGGAGACACATACAAAATAGATGGAATGTACAAAGGACAGCAAATATTTAACTTGTGTGCTGCCAAGTGGGAAACAGGCTCTGTCACCCATTGGGTGGCCACGACATTGACACCAAAACCTATTCTTTGGAAAGCATGGCCCATTTCCAGGGACTCTGGTAGCTCAGCTACAGAATATTCCTAACACAGCTGCAGTGCTTTTGGCAGAGCTCAGCATTTCCTGGAGTCAGATAAGCTGATAGACCCAATAGCTTGGCAGTTGCTCGGGTCCACTTCCCATTTGTGTATTTGGCGTTGCTGCTTGTCCGAGGCTTGTGGAGAGCTCTGGGGTCACCCTGTGCTGCTCTCAAATTTGTGACCTGATCCCAGCAGTCTGGTGAGTGTAGTCCTGAGACAGGCAGTGGCTCTCAGGCAGCCAGCCAGCTTTCACTCTTGAGCCCAGCACTGAGCACTGGATTTGGACTGAGGATGGGATTGGTGTAATTTCCTGTCTTCACCATCCAGCATAGTATCTGTTTATCACTTTTCCTTTAATCAGAGTTACACTGCACTCTTGATCCCTAAATAATGAAAGTTTAGCTGGTCTCATTCTGAAAGAATTTGCTTTGCCACCTCAAAAATTCACAATAAAAGTAATAATTTCTCAATCCATTTAAGTAATAACAGTTCCCCATAATCAGATTTCTTTGTCGGTTACGCCTCATGTGTAGGAAGCCTTATTTCTGCTGAATCATGCTTTTCAATGTGCTGCCTTTACATAGCACAGGACTAAGAAGATGGTTTTGATAATTTTTCTGATTTACTGCATGTATCATAAATGTTTGATTTGCTGCTTATATTCCAATTCTTCACTCCCTTACATACAGGGAGTTCCAGGCAGGAAAGTGAAGGGGAGTGTGGTTACACTGGTTACACACAGTCTGTGTAGACTCTCAGGCTGTCCTGGAGCATTCTGCTGTGAGTCCAGCTTTGCTTAGCCAGGAATTTGTACCCTCAAGACCACCTTTGCCTTTAATTTCTTCTATTTTGGTCTCTGTGAGTTGTCTAGTAATTTTCTACCCTCTAGAAACAGGTATGTGCCCAGGCCCTGTTAAAATAATTTAGATTGACTTGTTTCACTTTCTTGGATGGTGTCATTAACTTGGTAACCAAGTTTTACTTCTGGAAATACCTAAATTTAACAGGCAATAACTCTGAAAATAATTTTTTGTATCTTATTTACTTTCTTTTCATCTTCACAGGCACATCGTCTGTCCACACTTTCCCTTCAATATGAGAAGAGATTAACAGATGAGCAGAAAGGAGGAAGGAAGAAAATAAAGCTAATCAGCAATACAGTATGTGTTTCCCTGTGTCTGTGCTATCCCTTTGATCTATAGATTGCTTTAATTTGAATTGTAAATTTCAGGCAGACAGATAACTGATGCTAGAATGTGTTTTTCCTTCAAATTGTAAATATTCATCAGTGTACATCTGAAAGTTATTTGCCATGCTCTTTTCCAAGTCCAGACATCCCAGACCAAATCAAGCACAGATCCACAGAGGGTGGTAGGTGAAAAATTGTTTTTTCTGGCACTGATTGCTTTGTGAACAATTTGACCGGGGTGGTGGGTGGTTTCATTCTTTTTGATTAAAATGGAATAGTTCAGTTGGCAGGGACTTACAATGATCAGCAAGTCCAGCTGCTCTGGTAGAGCCTCAAATGATTGAACTGACCAGTCTGGGGCAAGGGATCACATCCTACCCCTGTGAGGTGGGTCATGGTTGTGTGTTAGCTCTGCAGCTGTGCATTTTTGTTTTGCCCTGTCTCCAAACCCGGTTAACTAATTATGCAGCTAATTGCTTAAGTCACAATAAATTCAGGCTAATTCCCTGGGTGATATGAGTGCCAGTAGTTGTCCAAGGTGCTGTCCTAACTGGATGTTCCCTGTCTGTCAATCTACCAAGCACCTGACAAACAAAACTGATCCCAAAGCCAACAATATCCAAGAGATGAGAGAAGGAAGAGAACAGGTTCATGCAAAATGTTGTGTTTGCTGATATCTGGTGTTTGTTGCTATCTGATGTCATGATGAGTCACCTCAGCCTCCAGCTTTGGAATAAATGTAATTTTGTTAACCCTTCTCCTAAGAATAGAATTGTGCAATGATACTTGGCTGCCTTCTCTAGGAATTTTTCCTGAAGCTGTTTGGTCAGTAGCCAAGGTGAATAATAAATGGATTATGGGGGTGACTGCCATACCGACAACCTGTTAGGTGAAAACTTCCATGGTTTAAGTGGAGGCACTGTGATGCTGCTGGTTGGGCCATTGGACTGGATGATCTTAGAGGACTTTTCCAACCTCAGTGACTCTATGATTCCTTTCATTATCCTCTGTGCTGTTGGAATTTTAAACTGCTTCCACCTGAAACTTAACCCCTCGAGTGCTGCTTTTTACTGAGGGCCCTTTCCTGCCCGTGCAGCAGGAGCGGAGCGCGGAGCCGGCGGAGCCCAAGAAGGCGCGAGCCACGTTTTACATCGCCACCGTGAAGGACACCCTGAGCCAGCAGAACTATGAGCTCTTCTCCAAGGCTCTGCAGCAGTACAAGAAGACAGATGACTTCCATGCCATGCTGTCCCAGATGAGCTCCCTCTTTGTAGAGGATGTAAAAAAGCACGTCTTGCTGCGAGGTACTTTCAGAGTGTTTGCACGTCCCTGGTGTATTTGCAGAAGTGACTTTCATCTTTTAAACAGGCTTGGATACTTCAGAAATGTTTTAGATGTGAAGTGCAGCTCAGTTGATTCATCACTTTATATCCCCAGATAACACAGAAGATTCTCATCAATCTGTTTATCATGTGTAAGCTCACATCTTGACTTGAAAAAAATCGTATTCCGTGGAATTTTGTGTTATTTTAAGCCTTGTCTAAAAGTACAGTGACTTACTCCTGGTAGTTTTGGAGATCAAGAGTGTGGTTGTGTGAGCTGGAGAGATGCCTTCATAAGATTTCCAGTGCTAAAGCAGTAAATAAATAGAACATAGAGAGAAATTTTCTGCTTGGATAATTTGGAGTATAAAATAAAGGATTTAGGCAAAGGTAGATAGTTACGGCATTGGCTGGTTTTTTATTGCCTTTTAACAACTGTACTGACAGGAACTGAATTGCCACCAAGATTTCTTCTACAGTATTTTCTATGTAATTTTTAATTTATCTCTCAGCTTGTGAACAAATATTTGTGAGCAAATGTAACATTTTCATAAACTGAAATAATAAATGCATAGTTATGCATCTTGTAAATAATTTTAGGGAAATTCTAAGGTTAAAGAATGGGAAGCTCAGTCACTTGGTTTCCCAATTTGCTATGATCTGCATAAATAAGAAAATGTTTGATCATCAAATCAAGGTCTAAGTCTAGTTTTGAAAACTGTCAGGCACCCAAAATCTAAAGTCGATTTGATCTTTAGGGTTCTGGTGGGCCAGCATTTTGTGCTGAGTAAGTAACAGGAGTTACAGTAAAGTTAACAGTTTATCAGTTATTTGAAGTATCAGCCTAGCAGTTACTTGGATCTCATGGTTTCTGGGGCACCTCAAGGGCTGTTTCACTGAGAGGTGGGTTACTTTATATTTACCATGAAAAGATGAGGTTTTACCTACTGGTGATGATATTGCTTAATGTTTGCATGATAGCTGACCTTTGTGTAATTTGTAAGTGTGCTTATTGTATAAATATTAGATAAAAACATTTAGATTTTAATTTATTTAGTTGCACCTTTTTATCTAACCTTGAAGTTCTGCTGTTGTAGCTTTTTAGTAGCATTTATTGCCTATTGTGGATTAATTTTTTTTTCTTTCTTTCTTTTTCCCCCCATTTCCCTCTCTCTGATGCAAGATTTTTACCAGTTTGTTCGACCCCAGCATAAAAAGCAGTTTGATGAAGCGTGCTGCAATCTGACTGGAGTGGGCTGTGGCTACAAACCTGAGCACAGCCTCCCACGTGAGGAGAGGGAGATGCTGGCCAAGAGAATGGGTGAGGAGCTTGGTTCAGTTGTAGCATTTGAAGGACAATGTCCTTGTTCACCCAGTCATAGAGCAGGATGTGTCTGATGTGTAGAAATGCAAGGAAGTTCAATTTAATAAATTCTGAGCTAAGTCTCTGCTCTCCATGATGCTCTTGCCTTCCCTTGAGCTGTGCTGATGCCTGAGAATTGGTTACTGCATAGTTGATAATTATGTCGTTTTGTTTCAAAAGGAGATTTTACTGATCTGCTTAAATAATTTAGTCTGGGGAATTAAACAACCTTGTGTGTGTTTTCTTTGCTGCCCACATAGTGTCAGCAGAGTTGTGAATAGAGGGTGAGTATATCCTCACAGAACTTGTCAAATTTATGATAAAATTTATGAGCAGTAAAGTTCTGAAAAAGTGGGGTCTTACCTCATCATCGGAGAAATAAATCTGTGTGGAGTCCCATACTGGTCTGGGTTGAAAGAGACTTTAAAACTCACCCAGTTCCACCCCCTGCCATGGGCAGGGACACCTTCCACTATCCCAGGTTGCTCCAAGCCCCATCCAACCTGGCCTTGGACACTCCAGGGATGAGGCAACCACAGCTTCTGTTGGTTGCTCAGATGTTTTCAGCACAGGATGGCATACTTTGAAATGCACCATTCCATGTTCATTCTTCCCTGGATTGGTTTCATTTAACAGAAGAAAAACAGAGCCAGCAGAAAAGTACATTCTCCAAGGCCTCGTGTGCTCAGCTGAACCCTGGGCTCCACCTGAACCAAGGAGGATCCCACTTGACAACAGGACTCAATAGTGCAGGTACCCTCCGTGTTTAACAAAAATCCAGTCTATTCTGTTTTATTTCATCACTGTCTGGAAGTTCTCCTGGAGCAAATCGATGTTCTTCATGCTTGCTTATCACAGTGGCTCACTCTCTGTAGGTGGGAGGGATGGTAAATCAAAATTTGCAGCAAGGGTTGTGCAAAACAAAACATGAAAGTCAATAAATTAAATCAAGGTGGATGTGAAAGAAACCAGCTGAAGCCAGAGACTTGTACTAGAGGCTGAGCTGGGAAAAGTGGGGGTTGAGCACAGATCTGCTGGGCTTCCTGTTTGTCCAGGGTCCATGAAAGGGAGCCAGTTAAGGAGTGTGAGTTAACATTACGTCAGTATGAATTCAGGTATGAAGAAACTGTTTCGTTTTGTTCTTGGTGTAATGTGTACACTCCCTGTGTGGACAGCCTGTTTTTTCTGCAGAAACAGAGAGTAATAAACGTAATCTCTGCATGCATCCCTCTAATCTCACTCCGTCCAGTATTTATTTTCAAGCTCATGGGCTCACTTATTATTTAATTATGGGTTTTCCTGAGAACAGCTGGGAATTTTTTGTGTTTCTTACAAGGAAATGAGTAGTATCATTGGACAGCTTAGAAATCTTTCTTTAGAGGACAAAGAATAGTGTAATGCTAATCCTTTCTTTAAAAAACAAGCTAGTTTCCTGGAAGGCTTTAAATACTTCTAATGTGTGAAACCATACTGTTTATTTTTATTTGTCTTCTCATTTTCTTTTCTATTTGTGAATATTTGAATAAAGCAGGATCTTTAGTAATTATCTTGTCCTGAAACCTTTAGAATGGTTTCACAGAAGCTTGTTTCACTAAAAGTAGTTGAGAAAATAATAGGAATAAATGGATGTGTTATTTCTGTGCCTCACTCCTTAAGAAAAGAATGCTTATATTCTGTGCTCTAGGATATGCAAATAAATACTGACTGTAAAATTCACACCCAAGTTTTTTCCCTCCCAGAAAATTGAATGAAACCTGTGCTTTCAAACCTAATTATCTTTATCATAATAAAGGTCCAGATACCAAAATATATGGCGGGTTAATTTAAATAAATTTCCTATCATATCCTTCATCCATATTTGCATGCCTATGATATGCAAACCAGAACTTTTTTTCTCTAAAACATGCCAGAAATCAGAGAATAATATTGTAAATAAGGTTTAGTTGGCATTTAGCAGGATGTTCCAAGCTGCTCCTACCTTTTCTAGACCTCCTACATGGCTCTTGTGCTCTCTTGAGTGTTGTTTCAGGTTAGGTGGTACTTCTGGACGTTGTTTTCCTGTTGGGAAACACACTTTTATTGGTGACAAAGGGTGAGAAATCTGAACTTTGAAATTGCCCATTTCAGGCCAACAGAGTTGGTTTACCCATCTCTTTAAGATGCATTTACTCCTTCAGTGGACCACAAAACCTGATTTACTGCTGACCTCCATGCCCCTTTTCCTCATCCCCTGGTGACCTTCTGACACATTTCTCCATTTAAAATTATCAAGGAGCTCCAGAAGATGCTAAAAGTGATCCCCAGAATAATTTTGCTCCGTTACCATTCCCAGGAGCAGGTCTGGCCATGCCACAGGGAGGTGTATGGCTGAGCAGGTGGGGTTGGCTTCACCACTTCAAAATATTTCAGGAATTCCCTCCAAATGGAGTGAGAAGTGGGATATGTTGGAGCGACCTGTTTGTTCCTCAAGCCCTTCTCACGCGTTCTTTGTCTCTTAGGGCAGAATGCCAGTGCAGCTCCAAGGAAAGAGGCTGAAAAGGCTCCAGGCTGCAGGAGAGAGCATCACCAGGCCCTCAGGACTGCCTACCTCAGTGATGTGCAGAGGGCTTTGGACAAAAGCAGCTACAGGCAGTTCTACGAGGCTCTGCTGGCTTACAAGAAGACAGATAATTACAATGCGATGGTGTCGGTGATAGCAACCCTCACCACTGAGAGGCCACAGGACTTTCATCTGCTACAAAGTAAGAGTTTTTAAAAATCACTCTTATTTATTTGGAAGGAAAGTGTGGGTACTGTGATCTCGTGTGAGGTCTCACCTTTTGGTTTAGCTACCCAGATCAGTGGAGCAGCAGGAGCAATGTGTTCAATGAATGCCATTCAGAGAGCAAAAAATGTCAAGGTTATAAAATGTTCTCTCTGTCTGTTCAGATAGAGCTTGTCCATTAAAAACATTACACAAGACCTCAGTAATTCCAGTCCTAACCTTCATCCCACCTAACTTCAGTCAGAGGCTTCCATGACTGTTTTTTCTTCTCAATTACTACAATTGCCCTTTAGAAAGGACAGTGCTGACTATTGAACAGACCCAATTTTATTCCCATGACCAATGATTGCTGTACTGGTGCGAAGTTCTTTAGATCACTTCCAGGTTTCAGGATAAGTAGTCAGGCTTTTGATTTACTATTCTTTTACTGAGCTTCAGGTGAAAATATTTCTGGAACTGTGACATAATTTATTTTCTCAGAAGTAGTTTGTTTTATTTTCCTTTTGTGGGTTTAGTGATGGAAGGGTTTAGGGTTTTTAAAATTTGTAATTGGACTTAATTGTTGTAAAGGAGACGAAGAGGCATTGTGTGTTGATCCTGACTGCCTCAATGGTGATATTTTGTGTGATGTACCACCTCAGTTCCACCTTCTCTCATGTCTCTGTGGTGATTCTTTGCTGGAAATTATGCATTTTGTGTATGCTGGGAAATGCTGATGGAATTTTGTTTGTTATCTTTAGCAGATAACAATAAATATTGCACTGGCCTTGAACTGATACCATAGTCTGCAAGCTGTGAGAGAAAATCCTTATCCTGGTGTGTTAACTAGTTAGATTAGTCTTGGCAAAGTGGAGACTGGGAGAAAATGAGCTGTGTGACACTGTGAGTCATAACCTCCCCCTGAGCACTCTTTCACAGTCACTGTCTCTTCTGAGCAAATGTTTTGACCTCAGAGGACTTTGTGGTGGAATTGTCTGTGCTTGGCAGTAAGTCATAATTGGGGTTTTTTAGAATTTCTGTATGTGTGTTGTGAATCCTTGTCAACCAAACAATAAGAAATTTCCTTCCTGAGCATTTCTCTGGGTATTGTGTGTATACCTGATGTTCTTAGATCACTTGTCAGGTGAAGTGCTGGGGCGGGTGCTTGTTCTGAGCTGTAGAGAGTAAAAGAATTTCAGGATAAATTGAGATTATTTTCAATACTCATTTGCCTTCTGACAAGGAAAACCTCGTAATTATAAAAATCACAAAAGCATGAAGTGTTTCACCAAGCTGAAGATACTCTGAGGAACCTGACTGATTCCAAAAAATTTCTCCCCTCCAAAGCAAGGAGTCTTCCATGGTCAGACATTGATTTTCCTATGCATTTGACTGTGTTTTCTTTTGGTCAGGGTTTTACATGTTTGTGCGTCCTCACCACAAAGAGCAGTTCAGAGAGCTGTGTAAGGATTTGACTGGAATGGTTTGTGGTGATGGAGAGAAGCAACTGCAACAGCTGGAGCAAAGTGAAGGGAAGCCCCAGAGCTTGGAGAGCTGCACAAAAGGAATCAGCCACTTACAAGGTAGGGAATGAACAGTTGTCACAAGTTTAGAATATTACTTATTATTATTATAATGGGTAGGGCTCAACAGCCTCAGAATCACAGAATCATAGAATTGAGTTGGAGGAGACCTTAACCCTCATCCAGTTCCACCCCCTGCTCTGGGCAGGGACAATTTCCACTATCCCAGGTTGCTCCAAGCCCCATCCAACCTGGCCTTGAACAATTCCAGGAATGGAGCAGCCACAGCTTCTCTGGGCACCCTGTGCCAGGGCCTCACCACCACAAGGAAGAATTTCCCCTAATCTCTAATCTAAACCTGCTCTGCTTTCATTTAAGGCCATTTGCCCTTGTCCTGTCACTCCCCACCCCTGTGAAAAGTCCCTCTCCTGGGCTTGGGCTTCCCTGCCTGAGGCCTTTCAAGGAGAATCAAAGCATTTGGTTATCTCTACATTGGGTTAAAAAAAACCACACTCAAACAGGAGTAAGAGAAAAGGTAATATGAGATGGGGAAGTGCAAGGAAATAAGAAAGAAATTAATTATAGTTTTGTCATGTTTAAACTGTGAAGTATGTTAGGGTGAAGGCAGAATTGTTATATCTAAGTGGGATGAGAGCAAGAGTGGATCAAGGCCCATTCTGTAGGAAGAATTGCCATAGAACTAATTCAATATAAGTGTCACTTTCAGTAATATTGATTTAGTGTTTGTATCTTTCAAAAACATCTGTTGCAAAGCACTATGGCATAAAAACTAGTTCTTTAAATTTTATTTTCTTCTTATGCAATGACAAGTGAGTGAATTTACTGCTGACTGTGTTTTGCAGAGTCTTAGTGTTTGTTTGGCATGATACAGGTTGTACACTGGTTTTCTCTTTTTCTCCCCAGACACATCCACTTCTAGGAGTGGGGCACCAGAAAAAATTCAGACTAAGATTTCCTCCTTCTGCTTTAGCCAGAAAAGTGAACTTGAGTTGCCAAAGACTGAAGTGTCCAAAGAAACCAATAATGTGAGGGCACCCACAGACTCTGGAGTTGTGCCCATCTTTCCCTTAGAGATGGAGCCAGAGTGTGGTAGGTAGAGGAGAGGTTTGGGATGTAATTCTCTAATACTTGGGAATAAAGATAAATTACAGAAATGAGGCTGAGACTGATGGTGTATGAAACCACTGGGTCCTGCCTGTGTTTGCTCAGGTGCAGTGATTGGTGTGGTTTGCTGAGGAGAATCTGTACTTTCTGTACCTTGTGCTCTCAAAGTTCTTCATTGTCTTTGTCACAATGCTGTAGTAGTTTCCTGAGAACTTTAGGGATTTTTTTCTTGACAACTTCCTCATAAAGGAAGGATGTGACCAGAATTCCTACTGTGACCTGAAACATCAAGAGACTGTGAGGTCACTTGAAAGAAATAATGTGTCAGGGCACTGTTGAGGTAGTTCATTACACTCATGGTCATTGTTTTCTGGACTGCACTGGATGTGTGGATACATGAGAAGTTCACAGGTGATTACAGGAATTTAGTCATTTCCTCCCTCTCTTTCTCTCTCCTCACCCTCCCCTCTTTTCTAGGAAGATTCCACTGCTCTAACTGCAAATCTGAGGATGATGTGCCTTTTAAATGCCCATTATGTGACTTCACTTGCTGCAAAACGTGCTGGAAGCAGTTCTTAAAGGTTCTCCTGTTTATTGGTTTGGTTTTTTCCAAAACTGCTGGGAATTCTGTGCTTTTCAGGAGAATGATGTGAACAAGCCTGGAATCAGAATTCTTCTGTTTCCAGGAAGAACACCCAAATGCCAATGGAAGATTTACCACTTGATCCATTGTTTCCCATGGTTGGCAATATGATTGGAAGCAGATCTCTGCCCTAAGCTGATGTTTTTACGCTTTTGCACCTTTCCGAGCTGCCTCCACATGTTCTCTGGTCTAAAACTACAAAGGCAACAAGCTCTGGAGTCAGCTTGGAAAATTCTGTTTTTTTTTAATATTTTAATGTTTATTTAATTTTTTTTTCTTTCACTTTCATAATTTTACCCATCTAAAACCTACTGTAAAGCTCTATTGTGAGAATGAAGCAAATAAGGAACAGGCTGCCCAGGGAAGTGGTTGAGTCACATTTCTTGGATGGATTTATGATGTGTAGATGTGCACTTAATGGCATAGTTGAGAGGTAAACTTGGCAGTGCTGGGTCAACCATTGGACTCTGTGACCTTTAGGGTCTTTCCCAACCAAACAATTCTGTGAATCTGTGACTCTGAGTTCCTGCTCAGAGATCTTCTGTCTCTTGGTTTCCTCAGCTGAGTTAATTGAAATTCTTTAGGTAAGAGGATGTAGCTGGTCCCAGGGTGCCTGGGTTTGGGAGCATCTTAACCAGCATTTAATTCAGCAGCCAGGTGTTAAAAGACTTGCAAAAGCAGAATAATGCAAGAGTTGAGGGGTTTCTAAACATTCATATTTGATGAGAAGGTTGCTGATCAGTGAAGCTCAAGAATATCTAAAAACAGTACCGAAGGAAAAGAAATTTCTTCAGCTTGTCAATCTATAAGCAAGTACAAAATAATATGTTGTTCCAAGTTCCAGAGACAGGTCTTTTTCTCAGGCAGAAAACATTAAATTGTCAGGTAAGCATAGAAAAGATTGGATGACATCCAAATAAAATACAGCAGCCAAGACAGAGTTGGTCCAAAAGGAATATAGAATAAACACAGGAAGGTGCTGAGCTCTTCTCCCTGGGATTTAATGTCAGGATTCATGGGAGCTGTCCAAAGCTTTTACCAGTGAAGTTCAGACTGGATATTAGGAGACATTTCTATACCAAGAGGATGGTCAAACACTGGAAGAGGCTTCTTAGAGAGACCCTAATGCTCTTTAATATTACACTGTCATAACTTCTGCCCAACCCTTAAGAGGTCAGGCACTTGGACTGTAGGATCACTGTAAGTCCCTTCCAAGTGGAAGTGTTCTTTCTCTTCTATTTGGATATCCCATTTCCATGTTTGAGGAAATGAGTCACGGGTCGTTTGCTAGTAATGATTTCTGTATTTGCTACTTAGTGAATAATCTTACATTTATTAATTATTTATGTATTTGCCACTTACCCAATTAATCTTCCTTACAAACACACCTGTGTAGTGATTAATGTTCTCAGTATATAGGAGTGTTAAGTGGCTCATTTCATGATTCAGGCATTGTTTGGTTAATGAAAAGTCAAATACAGAGTCATAGAATCATTTCTGTTGGTAGAGACCTTAAAGAACATCAAGTCCAACCATCAACCCAACACCACCACTGTGTTTTTAGAACCACGTCCTGAGGTGCCATAGCCACTTGTTTTTTGAACACTCCAGGAATGGTGACTCCACCACTTCCCTGGGCAGCCTGTTCCAGTGGTTTATTACCCTTTCCATGGAGAAATTCTTCCTGTTGTCCAAACCTCCCCTATCCCCTTGTGGTTTATGGTGTGACTTGTGCTGATGCTTCTCCTGTTTCGAGGCAGAGCTGTGCTGGTCATGCAGCTGTGATGGAAACACAGGATTGCAAACAGGAGTTGGATTCTCTGAAACCAGTCCCAGAGGAGTCATGTCCCACCACATCCACTCCATGTCCATGTGCTTGGGACAGGGGTACCTTTACCAGCAGGAAATGAGCAACCATGTCCGAGCTCTGAACTCTCATCAGATAGGATTGGGCTTTGTCACTCTGACACGGCTGCATTCAAAACTCCTGTTTTTCTTTCCTAATAACTTACTCACTGTTTTTTCAGTTCAAAAGCCCTTTGGTGCACATTGTCCCACCAAGGAAGTGACTCAGAGCATCATTCACAACGCGGGGTTTGCAAATTGTGATCTTGTCCAATTTGTTACTTTACTGAAAGAGTGGTGGGGAGAGGCGGTGAATAATTTTGGAAGCTTTTAGAAGCTTTTGGAGGAGCAGAGCAGATGGAATTCCCTGCAGCTAGAAGCGGATTATGGGGATTAGTGCTGGAGCATGTTGGGTGATTCAGTGTTAGGGAAGCCTTTGAGAGACTGGATGAGAGTCTGCTGCTTTGGGGTGTGGTTTTCTCTCCAGAGGTTCTGTTGCTGCTTCCAAGTGTTTAAATGCATTTATTCATGCAGGTCTTCCCAAAAGAGTGAGTTCTTTTCATTTGTACTATCTGTAATACGGGCACATAATCAAAGATTTCACAATTAAATGTTACAGTTAAAATTGCCTTTGCCAAGTGCTGGCTGTTGGGAGACAGAGTGACCTTTCCTCTCCCCTTCCATTTTAGATATTTCAGTTAATGTCACCACAACAAAAATCCTACTGCCTGAGCCTACTTTGCAGTCTGCACCTTTTCTTGCAATAGCTCCCCACTGCCAGAGGTTAGATGGGATATTGGGAAGAAATTCTTCCCTGTGAGGCCCTGGCTGTCCAGAAAAGCTGTGGCTGCCCCATCCCTGGAAGTGTCCAAGGCTGTGTTGGACAGGGCTTGGAGCAACCTGGGACGGTGGAAGGTGTCCCTGCTTGTGGCAGGGGTTTGGAACGAGATGAGCTTTAATGTCCCTTCCAACCCAAACCACTCTGTGATCCTCATGAGGAACTTCCACACTTCAGGGAAGGCTGTGCAGTGCACCTGATGTAGCTACCCACCTTTTTAAACCTCCTGAGCTGGCAATCTTCTCCCAAAGATTATTTTATTAAAAAAAAAAAAAAAAGATTACTATCTCTTTTTTGAAATAGACCAGTTCAGTTTTACCAGTAATTTGCAAGCTAAAAGAGGAACGGTTTGGATTCATCTGCAAGTCAAATTACTTTAAAGCTGATGATTAGTGAAGAAGGAAACTGAAACCTGGATGGAGAAATGATGCCTCTTGTGTCTTCATGTCTCGTGCTGCTAATGAGAAAGGTGTGGGGTGTTATGAAGAAATAAATGTACTTGGTTCCCCTACAAAACTCTTGGCAATGACTGTGTGTGTCATCCACGTCCGGGTATGCCCAAGAGACATTTCCCTGTCATCTGTGCAAGAGGAAGCAGGAATTCAGGGAACTCAGCCAGTTGACAGGATTTTACTCACAGGTGCAGCTGCACTTCACAAGAGCTCCTGCAGCTCCACGTTTCCTCGTTCCTGTATTTCAGTCCTCCAGATGTCTCATAGCTGGGTCAGGTGCTGTAAAGTCTGGGGCCACTTTGCATGGTGCACAAAGCCTCATCTTCTTTTTATTAGTATCAAGGAAATAATCGACTGTGTGGTAACAGGAAGGTTGCAAACAGCAGATATGATCTCGGGGACTGATGGGTGGCTGCTGTGGCTTGTAGTTCATGTTGGCCAAAATGTGGTAAAGATTTTAATATCAGAGATTCACAGACTGGTTTGGGTTGGGAGGGGCATTAAAGCTTATCTTTTCCCACTCCCTGCCATGGGCAGGGACACCTTCCTCTAGACCAGGCTGCCCCAAGCCCCATCCAAACTGGCCTTGAACACTTCCAGGGCTGAGGCAGCCACAAATTCTCTGGGAAAGCTGTGCCAGGGCCTCTCAGCACCCTCTGAGTAAAGAATTTCTTCCTAAAACTTAAACTGAAACAGGGAAACATTCGATTAAAACCACTGCCCCTTATTCTGTCACTATTTGCCCACATGAAACCCCCCTCCATTCATGGCATTTTCTCCACAATAAATACATTCCCTGTGTGTTTTGCTTGTTGATTTCTACAGGTGGTGAAGAAGTGCCCCAAGTGCCACAGTGATGTGAAGAGGCAGCGATTAATCCAAGTTTTCTTCTGGTCCTGATGCCACCCACAGAAAGGGCAGGAAGCCTTTCTGCCAGCAGAAGGCAGTGGCTGTGCTCTGGCTCTTGCTGAGCAGGAGCAGGATGAAGGTTCTTTTAAACCCCCTGTGATCCTTGCCTCTGGATTACGAGCTGAACACCAGCACAGATCCTTTTCCAACAAAGGTGATCAAGTCTGAAAAGTCTCACTGCAAGAGACAAAGCAGAACATTGTCCTCTGTTAGAACTAAGTTAATGTTTTACTTATTTTATCCTCTCAATTCTCCTGTGGCTACTCTTAGGCTGCAATTCTATATCCTGGAGGCAGCTGTCATTTTATGGGCCCTTCAGGTAATACCAGATCATGGAAAAACCCCAGGAATGCTCCTACAATGGAACTGAGCTGGCTGAGGAGGCCAGACTACCCGTCCCTACCCCACTGGTGTTCCTGGAAGAGGTGATTCACATTCACTC